ATTAACACTGGACACTGTTAATTTAGAAAGCATTTTTATTTCTTTAAATCTACCAATGGATTAAGCACCGCTGGGTGGAGGAATAAATAAATAAGACAAATGGACATGGGTCACCGATGCTGCTGCTGCTGCTAAAGCAACAGAAATCGAGTTGAACTGGGCAGCACGCGGTGTGAGAATAACTGACTAGAGACACAACGGACTTCCGGAGCGGAGACGCAGAGAGAAAAGGAGAGAGAAGCGGAGGGGAGGCGGCAGCAGCGAGGGGAAGACAGCGAGTTCGGAGACCACGGCCGGACGGCTGGGCAGGAGGAGCTGGGGAAAGGGAAGGGATGGAGAGAAGTGGGGGGAGGCCTTTGTCCGCGAGTGGGAAGTTACAAGATGAAGATGACAACAACAGACTCCCACAGAGACCCAGACTCACAGATCTACACTCACACGGAGACCCATAGACCCATACAGACACCAAGACTCACGTAGAGATCTACACTCACACAGAGACCCATAGACTCATACAGAGACCCACAGACTCACATAGAGATCTACACTCACACGGAGACCCTGAGACCCATACAGAGACCCATAGACTCACAGAGATCTACACTCACACAGAGACCCATAGACCCATACAGAGACCCACAGACTCACATAGAGATCTACACTCACACGGAGACCCTGAGACCCATACAGAGACCCAGACTCACGCAGAGATCTACACTCGCACGGAGACCCTGAGACCCATGCAGATTCCCACAGACTCGCATAGAGATCTACACTCGCACAGAGACCCACAGACACATAGAGATCTACACTTACACAGAGACCCTTAGACCCATACAGAGACCCACAGACTCACATAGAGATCTACACTCACACGGAGACCCTTAGACCCATACAGAGACCCATTGACTCACATCGAGATCTACACTCGCACAGAGACCCATAGACTCACAGAGATCTACATTCACACAGAGACCCAGACTCACATAGAGATCTACACTCACACGGGAGACCCTTAGACCCATACAGAGACCCAGACTCACATAGAGATCTACACTCACACGGAGACCCTGAGACCCATACAGAGACCCAGACTCACATAGAGATCTACACTCGCACAGAGACCCACAGACTCACATAGAGATCTACACTCGCACAGACACCCATAGACTCACAGAGATCTACATTCACACGGAGACTCTTAGACCCATACAGAGACCCATAGACTCACATAGAGATCTACACTTACACAGAGACCCTTAGACTCATACAGAGACCCACAGACTCGCATAGAGATCTACACTCACACGGATACCCTTAGACCCATAGAGACCCAGACTCACAGATCTAGACTCACACGGAGACCCACAGACTCACATACAGATCTACACTTACACGGAGACCATTCGACCCATACAGAGATCCATAGACTCACATAGAGATCTACACTCACACGGAGACCCAGACTCACATACAGATCTACACTCAAACGGATACCCGTAGACCCATACAGAGACCCAGACTCACAGATCTAGACTCAAACCCAGGATCTCAGCGGTGCAGGCTCAGTATCTTTGACGTAATATCAGCACCCCCCCTCCCCCCACGCTGGGCCACCTCTCCCCATCACCAAATGTTTTCAATAATATTTTCAAGAGTAACCCATTCACAGTACATACCGACCGCACTCTCTCCCATGTGCGATCCATTAATAGGTGCAAACAACATCCATAGGACCAGACACACACACAGACACTGTCCACGATATGGGCAGCAGGGTAGCGTCGTCGTAACACTTGTGCCTCGCAACAACAAAAATAAATAAAATAAGACTAAGGTGCTCTGCAAACCCTCTGGCTACCATCAAAGGGTTGTACACGAAGCCATTCAGATATACAAACACAGACATAATTTCAACCGTGATGATGGGTACAAACGTAGTAATCATTGGAAAGATGTTATCAACCATGCAAAAAAAAAAGATTTAACTACACATTTTTGGACCATCTTATCTGACAGGCACTATTTTACTTTACCGAGTGTTAACATCCCTAGCGTTTAGCAGTACTCTCTTTATTGTCAGCCAACACTGGTATAAACATGGGCATTTTCGTTTCTTTTCTATCATGTGCATCCAGTGACTTGCGCACAAACACGCCCACGCTAACGAGTACCCCGTGCCCTCTTTTAGCCCCCCCCCCTCCCGATACGTTCCATTCATTGGCTACCACATTCTGATAAGCTCCTCCCCCCTTAACTGGTATTTAAGAGCTTGCATCTTGAATCCCTCCCTCACTTGATGCAGCAAATCTGGCTGTGACGGTCCCACCTGATGACGGAGACTTGTGTTGCCTCCGAAACATCGTGATTTTATTGTTTTATTTTTATTAATTGTAATTTATTTTTTTACCTACGTGACTTTACCGAAAGAACTAAGAGTATGAAAATAAATTGCCTGGGTTCGATTCCCTACCACCCGCGCGCGTGTCCGTGTGGAGTTTGTATGTTCTCCACGTTCTGCATGGGTCTCCTCCCGGGTTCGCCTGTCTCCTGCCTCTAGGCAAAAACAACACACAATGTAAACGATGTTGACCAAAACGTCCCAATGCTGAAAAATGACCTGCTTAATTAAGCAATTGGGATTACACAAACACACAGCAGTATCATCGCCCCCCTCCCAACGCCAACTTCGAAAACTTGGCAGGAACCTCTGAAACAATTACCTCGAGACTCTATCTGGCTGTGTCCTGGGTAAGCAAGCATATTAATTGTAATCAAATATACAAAATCTCTTAAACTTCACTAAACCTACATCACGCACAACTTTTATTTATATCCCCCCCCGCCACTGCCCCCCGCTTGCCGGTAAAAATCCCACTTGCGTGTGTAAATCCTCACAGTGGTGCAAAGTCATCATCAGCGGCGGGGGTTAAAGATGCAAGGTCATCTGCGTTGTGAGAAATACGACTCTCTCGCTCCGTGTGTGTGCTAGTGGGGTCACGCGGTGGTGTAGAGGGGAGCGGTGGTGCAGCAGCGAGCGCACTGCGCTGCGAACCTGGTGACCGCACGTGTCTGTGTTTCTCTGTGCGTGCACACCAACATCGCTTAACGTGTGCGCGTGTGGGAGCGGTGGTGTAGTGATTAGCACGCTGCGAGTTCGATTCCCGCTCACGGCCAACACCAGTGACGATTATCTGAACTGGTCCTTGGACCTCCCCTAGGTCGACTCAGCCTCAAATGAGTACCTGGTGCGGTGTGTAAACATCGCCACTGGAGAGACAAAGGCTGCTGGGTCTGGTGCTGGCCTTCGTGGGTCCTCCCTTAACAGCACTTGCCCCAACAGCCTCAGTAAGCTATACTGGGGATCTGTATATATGTTTGTGCGTGTGTATCTGTATCGCATCTCTGCACGCGCCCGTCAGCACTCACCGTAGCGCGGGGGTTGGGAGATGAACGCGGCTGTGAAATGTAGCGGGATTGGTGGTTCCGTACACAACTCGTGGTCATGTGGATTTTTTTTATCTGGGTCCTCCGGTTTATCCCTCCACATTTAGAAACATGCGTTTAGAGTATTTGGCTGCTATGCATTTCCACACGATAAGCCACTTCGTTCAGCTATCATTTGTGGCCAGGTCGCTTCTGAAAAAAGCTAATAAGCTCAGTGGTAAGATTTATTTTTTATTTTTTAAGTGATTTGTTTATCTTTCTTAAACTTTGCACTCCTGTCGTGTTTGTTGTTTTAAAGTTCTCATCTGCCCCGACTGTACACCTGTGTAAAATCGCTTCATAGCTCAATGGATTCCTCCAGGATAAATATTCAGATTCTGTTTTGCTCCCAACGTGCTGGGCGCTTGTGCTGGAGCAAAAAAACGTCGGACACGATATGGAACACACACACGCCGCAGTTAAACAAAAAAAACCACGGCAGGGAGTTCCACTTACGCACGATTGCATTTTACCACACCAGAAAACGTGGCCCCTTGCTGAAGAATAAAAAATGTACAAGAGTACCAGAGAGCAATGGAACATGGCCGGCTTTGAATGAAACAAAGGGACCAAACAAGACATTATTTGAGAATAAAAAACTAAGATATTCATAAATGGAATGTATTAAGTGAGAATACTGTAACTGCAATGGAGTTAGGCGGTACAACTACCTAGGGACATCAGAAGACACAAATACTAATGCAACAGAGGACGATCGGAGGAAAGGGGTTTGAGAGGAGACCGAGATGATGAGATTGCTGGGACAGACTGCAAGATAAGCACACTGCGTGGGTGGCAAGAGATCCGAGGAGTGCAAGGACATTGGTTGGGGTCTTTAGCAAGAGGTTGGGGAGGGGCTAAGATGGGAATACTGTAACCCTGGAAGGTACAGCTATGCGGTCACTGGTATGTTAAACAAAATAAGCTTGTTTCTTATAAGTAGAGCGGTATTCAAAAAGATTGACGGGTTTCATTAACGGAGTACCGCCAGAGTTGTGTGTTTGTTATAATCAAAACAATGTCACTTGTTTATCTGGTAAAGCCTCACCGGGTCTCAGTACCACTTTTTCAGAAAGGGTCCTGGCCAATTTCATTTTAAGAAGGGGGGGGGCCTTCCGTGTTGGGAGGAAACTGGAGTGCCCAGAGGAAACCCACCAAAGATGTTCACGGGATAACACTCACACAAGGTACACACGTAGCGGGTTTCACCAACACTGCCGTACTGCCATCTGCTGGCTACTGTGCAGGGGGAAGAGGTCTAGCAAATCTCTGCGCGATCCGCAAACCCTCGCCTCCAAAGCGTTGGATCGCAGGCCCGCACCACCAATGAGATGGTACGACTTAACTAAAGGATGAGCGAGGTTTTTAATGCTTTACAGTTGATACTTCAGCAAATGCAGCCATGTGGTAGGCAGCAGAGGGCAGTACAGCACAATTCGGTGTTGTACTGCACTTCTACGCTCATTACTTTTAACTGGCACTGACCGGTGTGGAGAAGTATGGCAAAATAAACCCCAAGACTCGTACGGTGTGGGGACGACCTCGAAGCAGACTGATGGGGTTGTACAAGCGAATGTTTATTTATTTATTTTAAATGTTCAACACATAGCCCCTTCCACGGGAAAGTGCAATTTCAAACAGTGGCTCTGTTGTCACCCAATTGCTCTTTTGAGCAGCGAGGCTGAATTAGCTTTTGAATTTCAACACAAACACCACGTATATCTTTTGAACAAAATAATTTTACTGCAAAATATATATTCATTGCCATTTACAAGATAAATCTTAATTATAAAGGGAAAAACACAATAATAATATATATGAAGACAATGCAAACAATGATATTAAGCCGACAAGTGCATTTTGTAATGACTGATATCACGTTCTGCTATACGGCAAAGTCCTTGCACTATCCAAGGGGCCCAAGGACTTCCACCTCGCACCGAACTTTGCCAATTCTCTCTCGCAGGTGACACACATGGTTAGGCTGCTGGGATGGAAACCCAGGTGGAGAGGTTCAGTCCATGAACGCGCCCTTCAACCCCCCCTGCGTGCGTACGGGTGCTGAGGTGGTCTTACCCCTGGCGGTGGCCTACGTCAGCAAAGAGGCGCAATCACCGACTCCGGTGTGGTCAGAGAACCGAGAGTGGCCCAGTGCCTCCTCCTCCGACAAACGGGTGGGACATGGCAACTCGTCACCGTGAAAGCGTAATAGATTACAATTACAATGCTTTTCGGTCCCAAAATCGTACCAATTTAAAATCGTAATAACCATGGATCTGCTACGGAACAAGCCGTGTGGGGATGACACTGACGACGCTGCCTTGGCTGCGGGCCTGGACAATTACGCAAAGAATGAGGGGGGCGCCATGGCAACTGATACCTCGGTAACCAGTCCCGACTCCGGGCTAGTAAGCCGGAGTCGGGACTGGCAGAACTCGTGCTCCGTCTTCAGAAATACAGTCCTAATTCGCGACACCATCACGGACTTCTCACCTGAGAAGACTTTGGTCATGTCCGCTCATTAGCCAAGATCATCAGACGATGATGGAGTTCAGATACTGGTACTCCAATTGCTCTCTTCTCTGTCGGCCTGTCTAACCGGGGTCAGAAAAAAAAAATTGTTTCTTGTGCCATCGGTCCGAGGGCAACGTTAATCTCCTACTGTCAGAGCTCTCCGACCTCCTCGACCACTTTATCATTGGTGTAAATCGCAACCTAATCCTTGCGGGCGACATCTTCAATTGCTCTGGTCTCACAGACATCAATAGGCCATCTCCTTGACGCGACCCTTCCCTGCTATCGTACACGGTGGAGCAGGTAGCACCTTTGGCCTCATTTACCGAATCAAATTCAAACCGTCACCTGCTGCCCCTCTGTTCACATCTTTTCTTTAGCTGATCACCACCTTGTTGTTGTTGTTGTTTGTGCACCTTTTGTCACAAAGCAACCTGGGAGAGTTCTCCCACTCTCAGCTCAAGGCTCACACCGGCTCAGGCGCACGCCCGTTACATATGAAGGACTATGTGCTCTTCTTCTCTACCTTCAAGTTCTTGAACATTGCAGCACATTATAAATTGTACTTGTTACCATATGTAAAACCTCCCGTTTCTCTCCCCCCTCTTTCCTTCCCATTATCCTGCCCGAGACAATTTGCACTGCTGGAAATTTAATATTTAACTTGATGTAATAGATTTTATGTTTGGAATATTTTTGATTTCTCATTTGATCGTTGTTTGTTGAAATGTATTTTCACTTCATGGCTGTACTTTATTTTAGTTTTGCTTTTAGTATTTTGACTCAAGTCACTATTACTAAACAAAAAAAACTAGAAACTTTTTACGTCTCCACGGTGGCCAGCGAGTATTAGTGAAAAGGTGATCTCAGGACCGGTTGAGGTTATCACTGACAGCTGTGGCTGGGATTTATTTAGTCCAATAACCCCTGTATCACAGCTTTACCACATTTAATAATTAGTCAAAAAAAAATCACATCCTTGGGATTGGCTGAAACTTGTCTACAAAATAAAAGCAAATTGTTTTGACATTTTACATTTGGGACAAAATAAAAAACTGTTGCAGGTGAACCGAAATATAAACGTCATCTGGATATTCTTACAAACTGAGGTTGAACAACTGCTTGCGATCATCTACTGCATACCATCTTCCCTCTCATCCCACCCATCCACACTCTCACCCATTGCCCACCACTGAACCCTCTCTTCCACCACTCCGCCCTCTCACCCATCACCCACCGCACCCCCTCACTCCACCCGCACCGTGCGAGTGTCAAAGCACGGAGCGGTAAGTGCAGGCGAACATGATCCAGACGGCGCAGGCGTTCTCCGGGTAGACGAAGACGCGGGCTCGCACCGCCAGACGCACCTCGTCTCCCCGGCAGCTCACGATCTCGTCGCAGAACGGAGAGCTGGGGGGGACAGAGGGTACGGGGTGAGCGGCGACGCGAAATTGTGGCACGCAGGAGCAACGTGCCGCTGTTGGATCGGGGCCTCGACAGTGTTTTTGTTTAAAAAAGCCTGACTCCGCTGATGAGGTCCAGGTTTTGATTGCTTGCCTTGCAGGTTGGCATCTTACAGACCCGTTAATGCATCTCTTTGCGAGCCACCCAGCCTGGTGTGTTTCAAGTTTTTAAGTTTCATTTATTAGGTATAGCCCTGTGAGCCATTCGGCTCTTGAATCGGGTGCAACCGCAACAAACAAAAAAACAAAAACATGAACAAGAAAACATCTTAAAGTGACTATGTGCAAACAGAAAATCCAAGAAAAGACAGCAAAATATTGCAGAAAAAGCACCGTACACCAACACTGTGTGGAGGTGTGCGATTGTAGAATGTTTCGCAGAGAAATTCTACATTGCTATGATGGAGACAAGTCAATCCCAAGGACAACCACTTCCCACAAAGCGGTACTTATTCTACTGACGCTGAAAGGATTTCAGGGACGATTTTGACCCCTGATCGGATTTGCAACAGACTCTGTGATTACGAGACATCCATTCTAACCACTGCAGCACGCAGCAGGACACAATTCAATACACAATCTACTATGCGATTTAACCATCTACAATCAGGCTGGCGAAAGAGTATCGCACAAAGGGAGACACGAAAAGAAAACGCTTACCACTCACATTGCCTGACATGCTGTGCTGCTGTGATGTACATTTCTGTTACAAGGCAGTGTTGATGACATGTTTTTTTTTAGTTCAAGGTCATGTCTTGTGGTTATATATAGCTATCCAACACATACGTGTTTAAAAAAAGACTCCACCATTGTCATTAACACTGTGTGTGGCTGTGCGTATGTGTGTGCGTGGGAAGAGGCACGGCAGTAGTTGGCGCACTGGCACCTTGAAGCTGGTTACCCAAATTTGATACCAGGCCACGGCTAACATCTCAACCAGTCTTCAAGACTTGCACGTAGGTGTGTATGCACGTACGTGTCTGTGTGTTTCTCTGTGCGTGCACACCAACATCGCTTAACGTGTGCGCGTGTCTGTACATGTCTATTCACGTGTGTGTGTGTGGGAGCGGTGGTGTAGTGATTAGTGCGCTGCGAGTTGGATTCCCGCTCACGGCCAACACCAGTGACGATTATCCAAATCAGTCCTGGGCCTCCCCTAGATAGACTCAGCCTCAAATGAGTACCTGGTGCGGTGTGTAAACATCGCCACTGGAGAGACAAAGGCTGCTGGGTCTGGTGCTGGCCTTCGTGGGTCCTCTCCCTTAACAGCACTTGCCACAACAGCCTCAGTAAGCTATACTGGGGATCTTTATATATGTATGTATGTGCGTGCGTATCTGTATCGCATCTCTGCGCGTGTATGTGCGCCCGTCAGCACTCACCGTAGCGCCGTCGCAAGCGCGCGGCGAGCATTCCTGGAGAGCAAGTGGATGGGGAAGCCCTTGAAGGTGTGCCCGTCCGGCACGAACCGACGCACGGCATCCTGGAACTCGTCGTTTCCCGGGGCGACGCCGACCGCCCGCTCGCACTCGTAGGCAGCGAGCGCCGGCAAGAGGAGGTACGCGAGCGCCGGGTCCCACGCCGTCTGCAGGCCTAGGTCCTGCTCGCCGAACGCCGTGCGCATACAAGGGTGGTTCAATAAGAAAAGGTTATTTTCGCTGAATTTTAACCTGATCGGACCACGTGATGAAGCAAGTGTGTGCTGGCGGGCCCAACGTTGTCCTTGAAACGCGAGTCACACCCTAACACCACCGTCTACCTATGAAGCGCACTGGGCCCGTCCATACAATAATAAACTAGCCAATTAGACCGTAGCACTACAATTTCCCTTAAACACACGAGCCAATCAGAATGTAGGATTAACCTACCCCGAACACCTAATAACTTTACCAAACGGACCCTAACACCATCCCTACCACATGAACCTCACCGTAACCCTAGTCCCACCTCTGCATTTCACCTATTCACTCTCCCGTTCCTTTTTAAATCCTTTATATTAAGTTCGCTTGCTTGCTTGCTTGCGTGCTTGCTTGCTTGCTTACGACCGTGCAAATCTTTCGGTCGTTTTTTAACCCACTTCCCGTGATCCAATCGAGCTGACATTTTGCACACAGACTCGTTGTGCGAGACAATTAATGTTCGTGAAAATTTTTTTCCAAAATTTTACACTGTTTAGGGAAAACAAATTAAATATTTAATTACCAATTGCTTAATACTGGCAGACAATCATCTGACCCATAGGTGGCAGCCATCTCAAGCCAGAGGACGAGAGGACTCTAGCCGCCACGCATATAAAGGATTTATAGTGAAAAACTTTGTTTTTACGGGTTATATTATTTACGACCACACTTCCTCCACGCAAAAGGGGGCTCACACACACCTTCCTGTGATCCTCCACCAGCAGCCTCAGCTCCGTCTCCACCCGTCTGGCGGCGTCAGCGGGGTCGATGGATGGTGGGCGGAGCGTCGGCGCCAGCGCCGACGCCGCCGGCCCGGCGGCGGTGACGGAGGCGACGGCGTCCCGGCTCATCGCCTTCCAGCGCGTGCCGTCCGCTAGGTCCAAGTGGGTGGCGTCGACGGCATGCGTCGGTCCGCAGTTGGCATAGAAGGCGCGGTGGTTGTATGCGCAGCCCAGCGTGCGGTACGGGTGGTGCTGTTGCTGTTGCTGCTGCTGGGCGCGAGGGAGTGGCGGGTCGTCCAGGTTTATCGGGCGATGCGCGTACCTGGGTAGGTCGATTGCAAAGTTTACATCAGCGATTGTTATTTAAGGCCTCGAGACAGAGGCGTGGTTTCTCTGTGTGCCTATGTACGTCTCTCTCTCTCTATGCATCTCTGTGATATCTGTCTCTACTTATATGTCTGTCTATATGTCTCTGGTTCTGTGTTTCATCTCTCTCTCTCAAATTTAGCATTCTCAGGAAGAACGTAATCAACCAGGTAGGGTGTTGACTGTTATGTTATCCGACTCTCTGTTGTATTACATTACATTTCTAAGTATACTAGATTTGTGTTTCTATTTCATTTATACCTGATGATGATTGCTTGTGTTGCAATCGAAACGTCGTATGCTAGTATTTAATTTATTATTTTCTCTTTATACGTAACTTTACCGAAAGAACCAAAGAGTGATTGTTAAGGTGTTCGTCGTCGTGACAGTAAAACCTCCCGAAGCCAAAATTGGTAAAGCTGGAATTTGGGGTATGCCAGAAGAGTGTATGTTTAAAGACGATTTATCAATCCACTGCTGGATGAGGGCATCCTCGACACCGCGTGAGTCAGGGTTAATTGTTCATTGCTGGATAAGGGCCTCCCTGTCGTGTAGGTTTTGGGAGTTTTTTTTCTCGTCACCATACTTTGCCCAGCTAGTCAGCGCAGGCTCATAGATGCGAGGAGCATAAGACTATCCAGGCTCAGCCCTGTTTAGCATCGGAGATGTGACTAGGCCGAGTGAATATTAATATTGTTCATTATTATCACTGCTTTGTACTAAACCCATCGACCTGAATTTCATTCCAAGCTGAGACTAACATCAGTGACGAGTGATATCTGAACTGATCCTGAGCCTCTCCTGCACTAAAAATGCACTGAGCGGCATGATAAAATCTGGTAAAACAAACCTCATGACTGAAAACGGCACGGGAGGCTTTCATCGTGATTGTGCACACGAGATTTAAGTCTGGCTGTCTCCTGGTGAAGCTAGTTGTAATTACTGGCGAAACGTCGTACTCAGATTGTTAATGTTGTGGCTTTGCTCTCCAACACACCGGTGTGTTGTACTAGTATCGAATTGGCCACGTTCTGTTTACGTGACAAACCTTACTCATTGGCTGTGTCGGGTGGTGGCGGGTTTAATGACGCATTTATATATTTACGCGTTCTAACCCAAAAAAACCCTCTATTATGGATGATATTGTTCGCGAAAGCGAATTGTTCCATCTCCTCAGTAGACATTCTCTCGGGCGTTCAGTCTTTTGGATGCCATTGGCGTGTGACATGTCCTCCCTCAACCCACTTATTTTGTTCCGCAGTCAATAGGATTTCTCCTAAATGCACGTGTTCTCTTTTTCTGTGCAACTGCAAGGATGCACCCTCCATGCTTCTTTGTGCACTTTGAATCTTTTGTTCGATTTTTCATTGTCAATGTCTTATGTTTCTGAACCATGTGTAAAAGCAGGTGATATACAATTAGTGAAGATGTTCCTTTGGCATGCTGGGAAAGCAATGTACCAAGCAGTTACGTGTGTTTTTACAAGAGCTATATATATATTTGAAGGTTAGGCTTTTGTGACTAATATAATCCATTAGAGGTTTTTGGGTACGACGTTTCGCCAACACAACGGTGTGCTGAACTAGTAACGAATTGTCATTTTTGTCTATGTGAGAAAATGTACTAATTGGCTGTGTATTGCGGTGACGGGTTTAACGACACATTTAAATGTACGTGATCTAATCCAAAAAAGCTCTATTATAGATTTTAAAGTATTTTCTTTGAAAAAAAGAAATGTAGATCACCTAATTTTCACGCACAAAGCACGAGAGAGAACACACTAACCTCCAAATCTCCAACACGGACATGTTCTACGTTATATATAACAAATAAAACAACCACCGTTTCTCCTCTTCTTCCACTCCTATAATATCTGAACAATGCTCAGAGCCACGATTCTGCAACGACGACAACAACCTCGCAAGTGGTAAAGTGAAAGGGTCCAGAACTGAATTCAGGTGCTGTCATTTCACTGTTTTGTCCTCTGTGTACCTGGGGAAATTGCTTTCGCGATGATTGTGTGCAGCTGGTAATCCAGTTGCTGTTGCTGCTGTAGCATTAATAACCACATCATGACCTTTTGAACCGCCCCATAGGCACACTGTGCTGTCCTAGGCAACGCTCTTTCCATTGTGGTCATTTGCTTTCGTGCCATTTTTTTTATGCACAGTTGCCGCATTTTAGGAAATAATGCAAGGGTATGGAAAATAATCTATTCAAATAACATTTGATCTGGTAGCCTAGTAGAGAGCCTTTCGGAACAATGATTTCTAGCAGCAGACAAGGGACTGCTATGTTGCAGGCTGTTGCTCCCGTAGTATAGAACTCCCTTCCCCCACCTCTTGCCATCCTTGCTGTCGACTCTGCCCCCCTGTTCAAGTCCATGATCAAGATCTTATTTTCTTTGCCTATGACTTATTCTCTCTCATAAAAATAAATATTGACACTGTACAGCATCTTGAGCTGTGAACACATTTAGAAGATATATAACCCACATTGTATTGAAGGATGTGGGCCAGGGGTTGGCAACCCGCGGCTCTGGAGCTGCATGGGGCTCTTCAAGGACTGCTTTGTGACGTTATTCACATACATTGCGGCCATTGAAATATTGCGTTTTTTTGACAGACTTTGAAAAAAAATGGCTGTTTCTTGTTATTTTGGTTGCCGACCCCTGGTGTAGGCTCACAAAGACCCATGGAGAGTCATAGACTTGGAGTCCAATCGACACAGGGGGAGAGAAACTCCTCAATTCCATCTCCATACAAATCCATTGTATTTCATGCTGAAACTGGTCCAAAGTACCCTTGCTTAAACAAACACTGCTGGTAAAAAAAATATTGGTCCAAAAGGCCCATAGGCTGGTGGCCTCGAAATGTCAATTTATTTTGTTTTGACTCTGCAAAACAGACCCTTGTCTGTTTATGTTACAACTTTCCTATCCCCGATTCGTCACTTCGGCACACAATAGCATTTCGTACGAATTTTCCACGTGAGAAAAAATGTATATATTCATAACAAATAGAGTTATTATTCCACCCAATTTCCTGCCTCTTTTTCAGAAGCACCAAGACTGGAATGAAAATGACACCGGAAGCAGAGACGCCTGTAGGCGATAGGGTGGCACAATGCTAACACTCGTGCCTCGCAGCAATAAGGGCCTGGGTTCGATTCCCGACTTGGGCACCCTTTGCTGTGTGGAGTTTGTACGCTCTTCAACTGTTGCTTCCTCCGGGTTCTCTGGTTTCCTCCCATAGTTAAAAACCATACAAAAGTAATTTGTGTTGGCAAAACATTCTAAGTGTAGCAGGACCCTCCTGGAAAAAGGAATATTCGGGCTGTTTGTGGCTTTCCTGGGGAAAATAAGTAATTGTTATTATCGTTATCGAGGCCAACTTGCGTAAGCAGCATTTTTGCACACGCATTGTTGTGCAGCGTTTTGGCTCGCGAATCCTTGCTTGGCAAACCTTCAGTCAGACAAACGTTTTCTTTAAACGGTGTTGAATTTCCCGGTCGTCATTTGTTTAGTCTCTGTGACATACACTGCACTGTATCATTGGTGCAGCAGCACACGTACAACCTTGCGAGCGGTCTTTGTGGAATTAATATTATGACAACATTAGTTCATTATTTACACAGGAAAGGCTCGCCGAGTCTCATGACTGCACTGGTGATGTTCGGCCAATTCCTTAATGAGTAATTTTGCATGTTAGAGGAAACTGGAGTAATACTAATAATGGGATTTATTTATCTAGGAAAGCCTCATTGAGTTTCATGGCTCTCTTTCAGCAGGACCATGTGTTAAGGATATGATCATTTCCTTTTGAAATAAAGAGTTTTGCTTTGTGTGCAAATAAACTAGAGTACCCACCTCCCAAGCCTACATCTATCTCGACAATACCTGCTAAGTCCTAGTGGTAACCCATTCAAGTACCTACCAAGCTTAAACATACTTAGCATTTGAGATCACTAGATTTGGGGCACAGATTATTATGCGTGTTTACCGAGGAAAGCCTGAGTGTCAATACTCTTCATCAAGAGGGTCGTGCCACGTTTTCAAGGTAGGGGGCGATGTTGCTATGTATTAATTGAAAATCTATAAATTTTCAGGTATTTTTTTCAAGTTACATTGTATGCGTGTGTTTATTCTAGATTTGAAGCTTTCGTGACTGCAAGGATTCATACTCTTAGTTCTTTCGGTAAAGTCACGTAGGTAAAAAATGAAATTAAAATTAATAAAAACAATAAAATCACGACGTTTCGGAGGCAACACAAGCTTCCGTCTTCAGGTGAAACTGTCACAGCAAAATATCTGTATACAGATATCTGTATACAGATATTTTATTGTTATTAATTTTAATTTAATTTTTTACCTACGTGACTTTACCGAAAGAACTAAGAGTATGTGTGTTTTTTAGCGATGGGAGATAATCAGAGAACCCAGAGGAAACCCTTGCAGAACAGGGGCAGAATATACAAACTACCATCAGAAAGTGGACCGAGTAGGGAATCGAACCCACAACCCCCTTGGCGTGACGCACAAGCGTTACCACGGCGCCACCTTGCTGCTCAAAAGGGTGAGTTGGTCATAGGCATCTCTTAAATCTAACTTCATATTTTTTTTATAGTAATAGTAATAAATCACTTTGTATCATGCCTGTTGCCAAGGTACTACTCGGATATTTTAAATGAGCTACACAATTTTACAATATCACACTGTTTTACAATATCGAGAACTAGAAAGTAGTTCGTCGTTGACCACTCAAGACACCGCATTGTAACGGGTGCGCGTTCTACATTATAACCGGCGCATTCCGCGTTGCGCAGAAAGCGTTCCCGACTGCGTGACAGCGAAAACATGTCGTGTAAAAGTGTGTCAAGTGAGGATTTACCGTACGTGGCACGATAATGTACACACACGATAACGGCACTTGTGACTTTGAGAAAGATGGAAGTCTATGGGTTTTTAAATAAGTGTATGAGTCCGTATGCAAGTCTGCGGATCATGCAAGTGCATGTGCATCTATGGGTCTCAATGCAAGTCTATTGATCATCTGGGTCTTCATGGAAGTTTATAGATGATGTGCAACGCTTGGATCTCAAAGTAATCGCACGCAGTGAATGCGCGACTGGAGCAGCGTGACCCCCGTGGCAGTAACGGGGAGAACGAATGAGAGACCTGTGGCCGGTGAGGCTCTCCCAGAAGGTGGTGGTGCCGTCGGTGGAGCGGGTGGCCACCCAGGCGTGCGGCTCTCCCTTCGCCTTGGTGCCCACGCACACGAACGCGTCGAGACCAAAGCCCAGCAGGAGGCTGCACAGGAGGTTCGCGTGGTCCTCACAGTCGCCCTGTGGAGAAGAGGATGACTGTGTCATTTTGCAGAATGTTAGCCCAACAGTGTACATGTATCTGTACACGTTTGTCAACCCACTGCTGGTATAAGTGCCTCCCCACACAGTGTGGTTCATGAGAGGGTGTGGTCAGTGTTTCTGCCGTCCATCCATCCATTTTTCCTTCCATCCATCCGTCTGAGAAAAATCCACGCGGCCATGGGGAGAGACACTGCAAACTCGAAATAAACAGTAGGCGTCAGGGTCGGGATCAAACCCACGACTTCCTGCACACCAGGCGAGGTAGTTAACATCTCCTAGCCACCGTGATGATGATGAGAGAGAGACACCGCAAACTCCAAATATACAGCAGGTGTCAGGGTCGGGATCGAACCCACGACTTCCTGCACACCAGGCGAGGTAGTTAACATCTCCTAGCCACCGTCATGATGATGAGAGAGATACACCGCAAACTCCAAATATACAGCAGGCGTCAGGGTCGGGATCGAACCTATGACTTCCTGCATACCAGGCGAGGTAGTTAACATCTCCTAGCCACCGTCATGATGATGAGAGAGACACACCGCAAACTCCAAATATACAGGTGTCAGGGTCGGGATCGAACCCACGACCTCCTGCATACCAGGCGAGGTAGTTAACATCTCCTAGCCATCGTCATGATGATGAGAGAGACACACCGCAAACTCCAAATATACAGCAGCAGGCGTCAGGGTCGGGATCGAACCCACGACCTCCTGCATACCAGGCAAGGGAGGTAACATCTCTCGCTACCATGGCGCTTCTGTCAATCTGTCAGCCGCTGCACCACCTTTCCCAAACACAGCAAGGTCAAGGTGTTGCCGAGTGTCTGTTCATCCATCTTTATGCCCGTCAGTCTATCCGTCCGTCCACCCGTCTGTCAATCTGTCTGCGGGTTGAGTGAGTGAGAGCCGCTTGCGCCACCTTTGCCCGGCACAGGAAGGCGAAAGTGCTGCTCCACATTTCGTGGCGGGCGCCGCCGCCCACCGCCTGAGCTCGCTCGTAGCCCAGGAGGCTGACAAAGCGGGCGGCCTGTCGCGGCGAGTCCAGCAGCCGCCCCGCTCGCAGGAGACGCACGTACGCGCACACCGGCCGGTTTGTACCGTTCTCATCCTGGAGATGGTGTAGTGGTGGGAGAGAGGCATGAGGTTGGACAAAAAGAGAGAAATAAGGTTGAGTGTGTTTTGTATGTATGTTGAACTTCTTTCGCACTGTACGTAGCCAACTGTGCTAATTGGAAGTGTGGGCAAAAGCAGCATGAATGCCACTTAATTTGGGGTTTTCTCAAAACTCCGGTCCTCCCAGTTGACCACAGCTTTCTACATTACAGTCTTCTTCGTAAAAAAAAAATGTGAATTGCACACTACACGTGTCTGATGATTGGTAAACACAACCCATGTGATGCAGATAGCGATGATTCAAATTAAAAGAGGTCCTTGATTGAAGTTTCAAAGATATTTGATATTCTCACCCTTGCCTACATAGGTACTGGATTACAGGCATGTGCCACCATGCCTGGATTAAAAAATATCGATAAATTCCAAATAATCGTTAACTCCACCAGCACCCCCTCACCTGAGCAAAGATCTTGACGAGACGGCTGTTATGTTCGGGTCGAATCTGCAGGTACTCCCGCCACCACTGCTTGGCGTAGACGAGAAAGAGACGTTCCTTCTCCGCCGCTCGCTGGCGCTCCAATCCCAGCTGCGACGACGCAAGCAAGGCCAGACAGATGCACACAGAGGAAAGACTCCCTCCGAATAGTCGGACTGTTCGTGAGCAGCTATTAAAGCAAGCAAGGCGCGTGAGGGCGTGGTGTTGTTAGCACCATGTCCAGCCACATTTTGCCTCTGTTTATGCACTACACCAAGTACTGATTTAAGGCCGAGTCGTCCCGCTTTCGTCTCTACAGCTGGCAACACCAAACTCCATGCTAGTATTATAGAGCTATCATGTAATGTCATACCCGAGGCTGTAATTTGTACTATCGTTATTCATATGCATGTATGTTCTGGCTTTGAGTTGAGAATGCACATCACAGCTGTGTGCCTATGTCTGTTCTCTCTCTATGTATCACTGTGATATCTGTCTGCTTATATGTCTGTCTATATGTCTCTGGTTCTGTGTTTAATCTCTCTCTCAAATTTAGCATTCTCAGGAAGAACGTAATCAACCAGGTAGGGTGTTGACTGTTATGTTATCCGACTCTCTGTTGTATTACATTACATTTCTAAGTATACTAGATTTGTGTTTCTATTTCATTTATACCTGATGATGATTGCTTGTGTTGCAATCGAAACGTCGTATGCTAGTATTTCATTTATTATTTTATCTTTATACGTGACTTTACCAAAAGAACCAAAGAGTACATCACAGCTGGTCGTACACACTGCCGAGTAAGACATCAGAAGCATGGACGCTGAAAAAAGAAAATCTAATTAAATCTGAAAAGCGTTCAAAAGAAGCGTTGGAGTGGAGAGGTGCGTGCTTGGAGTTACACTGAGAGAGAGTTTGAAACATCACATTGACTCTCAAGAATATCTAACTGCGCAGGACACACCACAAGAAGGGAGGTAGAGATCAACAAGAGAACGGTAACCAAAGGATGGAACACCCCCACGAGGGCATCCACCGTGGACACAAAACGATGAAACTGGCTCCTGCACAAGAGCACGATGCATTGTTCCATCGCAAACCCGAGGAGGGATGGCAATAGCTTGGGAAGGCGTTCATTCAGCCGCGATCAGATAACACTGGTCAACAACAAAAAAAACATTTTTTTCTGGCCTGGACTTTTGCAGCTGTTTTAGACTAATATCAGGGTGCTGATTCCAAATGTGATCTCAGATTTGCTCTATCACATCTCATTTTTATGCTATCGGCATACCCCATTTTAATTTATTTTACCCGAAATTAACTCTGTCACTTATGATTGCAAGTTGTTGCGAGTCAGTGACTGCTTTAGTGTTAAGATATGGTGCTGTATTTTTAGGATAGTGTGTTTATAATAGAATTTTATGTAGATATCCACATTTACATAATATTTTTCTTCTGCAGTTTTTATTGAAAATGCAATATTTGATATCTCAAAAACCTGCTGTGATAGACAAAAACTGATGCCAGATTTGGAATCAGCACCCCAAAATTACCTTAAACCCGTTGGAATACCTTATGTCAGAAAAAGTGTGTTGACCAGTGTAATGGATGATGATGCTGAGTGCAGAGGGTCTCCAGTGAGTAGACAGTGCAGGGTCGAATGGAGGCATTGCTATTACAGGGTTGGCTTTGAGGGCGGTTGGGAGATCACATCTGAACCTGACCTGCGTGTTAAGCACGTCGGGTGTGATCGTGTGAACGAGACGCGGGTGCAGCTCCAAGCGCAGGTGCAGAACCCCCACCGCCACCCGTGACTCAGACCCTGCAAGTCGCAAGCGTGTTCACACAAAGACAAAGCATCGTTATGATGAATAGTAACATAGAAGGAAAATAATAAAATAAAACATAATAAAATAATTCTCACGACGTTTCGGCCACAACGCAAGCAGCCGTCTTCAGGTGGAGAACAGGTCTGTCTACGTGACTTTACCGAAAGAACCAAGAAGATGAATCCCTGCAGTCACGAAAGCTTTAAATCGAAAAATAGTAACATAGTTAAATGTTACCTTACTATTCTTCATCGCAATCATTCAACCATCGTACGACGAGTAGTAACGTAGGTAACTGTTACTCAATTCCAGCATTGTTGTGATGATGATAACAACGACGATGATGATGAGTAACGGTGGTAATCGTTTCAGTGTTATCAAGCCCTACCCACTCCCTGCAGTTCAACGGCTGTGTCCCAGCATGCCGTGGGACAGGCCAGCACATGCCGCCACTCCAAGCGGTGCGAGGTCACCAGGGTCGTCTCCACGGTGACATCGTCAGTCTTCACCAGCACCAGGTGCACGGGGTCGCTCATGCCCAGTAGCGCAGTCGTGTCGGCCATCTTGCCGCCCTCTCCTATACGGTAAAATGATGACACACAAAGATGTGCTCACCTACAGCAGCAGCACGAACGTCTCCCATAATGCCTTGCATGCACCATTGGAACCTCATTTGCCAGTAAAAAATATGATAATTGTTTTTTTACCCTTCTATCTGGCAACAAAACTGACACCTTTTTTACAAGGAGTCATGTTTGCATAGACCACAATACCTGCAGTCATAATGCAAACAAAAAACATAACTCTGATAATGTATGCACTGTCCTTGAAGTTGATTGGTCCACACCTAAGACAGCATTTCTTAGAGCCCAGTCTCACATGGTGTTGGACCAGATGACGCCAAAAGGCGCACAACTCAAAGACAATGCACCATCAGAGTATGAGAGCTCGGGGTAAGCATTTACACCTTGCATGCACTTCATGTGACCGACAAGTTGCATGTAAATTTCTCTTAGCCTTGTCTAGACCACCAACTCCAAAGGTAGTGGAGCGTGTAGCCATATTATTGTTCAGACGACCAACTCAAGTGTGGCCATCCCTTCAGGCAGCATTGCAACAAGTGACAACTTAAGACCAATCTTGATTTGAAGCTTTCGTGTCTGCAGGAATCCATACTCTTTGGTTCTTTCGGTAAAGTCACGAGGTAGAAAAAAATAGATCACGACGTTTTGATCGCAACACAAGCAATCGTCATCAGGTGGGACAACCACAGCAAGAAAAAACTGCTGAAGTAGGCGAGAGATCTGCCGTGGCACGAGGTTATATAGGCCTCGGCAGGAGGGGGCGAGAGAGGGGGGGGGGGGGAGGCGGGGCAGAAAGTGGACCGTTCAGCAGCACCCGGAGTAAAGAACTTAAGACCAGTTACGTCCTCATTAAGACTAATCATTACAGTAGAGCCATCGATGTTTACGACTGTCTTCATGACTCTGGGAGCCCATATACGGAGAGGGCTTACCTCTACACTACAAGGTCCCCCTTAGCACTGGCTTAAAGGCTACATTATAAAACGCAACACTTTCTGCAAATTATGAGAAAACCAAACCAACATAGCTCAGCCATGATCATTGGGGTTTTTCTTTCCAAGGAGCAAGAAATAAGTAAATTGATTAGAATTTTGATTGCCATATTTTCTAAAAATATATTGATTGAAACTAGCATGACTGAATCAACTGCACCACAGAATTTTCATACATCCCTGCTCACTATAAAATATCTAAACTGGGTGTGAAGAAAGGGGGATGTGAATCATAGACTGATCCCTGCCATGGTAATGTGGAATTTCCATCACTGGTTTAGGGCCACCAAAGAAGGCAGATACCATCCAATGTGTCTGAGCAGGGAACCTTCCAGGAATGTCTCACCGAGTCTCACGACTCCTTTTAAAAGAGGAAGAAAATACATTTTTGAAACCCATTTACAAAAATGGCCCAGCCACACGAATATTAACATCAAGTACCAAAATAAATATCTAAAAAAAGGGACTCGGGCAAGTTAAAACACTTTCGCCAAAGTTATTCAAAGCGACATTATAAAAATTAACCCGTAAAAACAAAGTTTTTCACTATAAATCCTTTATATGCATGTTCAATGGGCCACAACCCAGCCCACATTGGTCTTTGAAACGGGCGGTTAGAGTCCTCTCGTCCTCTGGCTTGAGATGGCTGCCACCTATGGGTCAGATGATTGTCTGCCACCATTAAGCAATTGGTAATTAAATATAAAAAAAAAATTCCTAAAAGGTGTAAAATTTGGGAATTTTTTTTCCACGAAAATACATTGTCACGCACAACGAGTCTGTGTGCAAAATGTCAACTGGATTGGATCACGGGAAGTGGGTTAAAAAACGACCGAAAGATTTGCACGGTCGTAAGCAAGCAAGCAAGTGAACTTAATATAAAGGATTTAAAAAGCCCCTATATCACCGATGAGGCCACGGCAATAACCAATGAATGAACGAGTGACCGGGAGGAAAACACTCACCACGCGATCCGTCGTGCAGCTCCAGCAGGAAGCTGTCGCGGAGGTCCGGCTCGCAAGCGCACGCAGCGGGCTTCGATCGGAAGCGCTGCGAGCGGAAGTTGAGGTGCAGTGTGAGCGTGGGGCCTGGTCGCCCCGGGGTGCCGGCAGGTGGAGAGGCAGGAGGCGACGGCCCCGTGTGCAGGTGTTCCAGGAACGCGCGCCCACCCAGCACCCGCAAGTGCAGGTACCTACGGCCAGGGTCGATGTTTGCTGGGGTGTGAAGGAAGATGGAGGGTGGAAGGGCATATATGGGTAGGGGTTTACGTTTATTTTTTACCACCCTTTGTCAATGTGTCGTTATTTTTATACACATGCCGCCGCGTGAATCTGTATCTCCTTATGTAAACATTTGCCTTCGCTTGTCCTCCATTAGTTCAAACCTGTCACAATGTGTCTCCATCTGTTCCCATGTGTACCTATACATTTCCAGGCATCTTCACTTGACCCCTTGTGCACTAATTTGCTTCCAGTGTGCATCAATTTATCTCCAAGTCTCCTTGAGTCTCACTGTATCGCCACATGTCGCCTTGTGCTGTCATTTGTCTCCATGTGTCTCTAAAACACATTGTGTATCCGAGACTTTAAAATGAGGAGGAGGATTAATTTAAAAGTGCCTATTCTCTGATGGACAAGATAATTCCTCACTTCAATATTTCATCTGACTTTCATTTAGCTTTCTGCAGATAAACAGTCGAGTGAAGTAGTTCCGCATCCCAAATGAGGAGGGATAATGAGACAGAAAAGCGGGCATGGAGAGCAGGAATGAGATTAAAGGGACGATTGTGTGACTCACTCTTCCGCAGCTGCGCTGGGTCTGTGTCCACCACATGTGTCGCCGGCTTGGGTGGAGATGAATCACCTCTGCCATCTCTTACACCATCTCCTCCACTATCGCCATTCCAATCCCCCTGTGTGGAAGATAGTGGTTAGAAAAGTTAAGCAGGAATCGCACTCCAAACCTATACAATATTCGGTGATATTGAATGGTCAAAAAAACCTTCATCAACGCTACTTAATAAAATGTGAAGTTAACTTAAGTGAATTTTGATTTAAAGATTTCGTGACTGCAGGGATTTATATTCTTGGTTCTTTCGGTAATTAATTGTTGTATTCACTTAATTTACAGTCATTTGTTAATACACTGAGGGATGAAGGCTTCCCCATGCCACGTCAGTCACGGGGGTTATTTGACCATACTTCCCCGGGTAGGTCTACGGGTTGGTGAAGGTGGGAGGGTGTGTTCGAAGCTCACATGAGCGGGGAAACGTGGGGGGAAGGGAGTGGGGGAGAGAGAGGGCATGGGCAATGTGGACAAGGAGTGTGGGCGACGTGGAAAATCATAACGACAATGAGTTTGTTGTCGTTCCCCCACACGTACGATGAGCACGGTTGGCTACGTACGATGCAAAATAAGTTCAACATACATACATACATTCGTACAAAAACAGAGGCTTTGATAGGGACGGGGTGAGTGAAGTATGCGGGTTCTCACGTGGCGGAAGGTGAGCTGCTCCATCACTTGGTCGACCACTCCACGCTGGTGCAGTGCCTGCAAGAGGTCTTGCTCCGAAACAGGAGCCTGCTTGTGCCCGCCCTCGCCGCCCTCGCCTCGGAGCGAATCCGCCAACACAGCGCGCACTGTGCTCTGGATGTCCATCTGAATGCCCGGTGCAGAGCGCAGTCATCATCGTTGTAATTGTTATTATTATTATCAGAAATAGGTACAAAATTTGACGATTTTGCAAGTATTCTTGGTTCTTTCGGTAAAGTCACGTAGAAGGGAAGTAATAAAATAATAAAAATAAAACATAATAAAATAATTCTCACTATAATTCTACGTGACTTTACCGAAAGAACCAAGAAGACGAATCCCTGCAGTCACAAAAGCTTTAAATCGAGATTTTGAAAGTATCAAAGTATGAAAAAAATCATGAATAGGTTTTACCCTTTCTGGCAATAAAAACAGGTGTTAAGATGTTCAAACACCAAATAGAAACCTTTTGTAAGGAATCATGTCTTCATTAACCACACATGCTTGTGGTGAACATGCAAACATATATGCATCGTCTTTGAAACTGATTGGCCTAAACTAGACTAGTCCCACCAGTGCCAGACCAGAGAATGCCAAAAGATGAACAGCACAAAGACAATGCACTATCACAGCATTTGTAGCTTGGGGTGAGCAGCTACAAAATGGGACCTATCAAAGTATGAAACAATAAGAATAGGTGTATTATTTTTTCATACTTGTAGTTTAATGCAGACATGATTCCTTGCAAAAGGTTTATACTTGGTCTTTGAAAATCTTAACACCTGTTTAATTGCCAGAAAGGGTAAAACCTATTCTTTTTTTATAGAAATAGGTACGTACTGGTAAACCGACATGACGCGGATATTGTCACCCTAATTGTCGTTGCCATAATACCTACTATAATCACCCACATCGACCAGCCCCCCTCAATAATAATCATAAGCAGGCGACGTCCTCCAAATGGACACCCCCCCCCCCCATTATTATTACCTACTATAATATAATGAGCTAAGAATTCTAGATTTGAAGCTTTCGTGACTGCAAGGATTCATATTCTTAGGTTTTTTTTCGGTAAAGTCAAGTAGGTAAAAAATAAAAATTAATAAAAGTAAAATAAAAATTAAAAATCACGACGTTTCGGAGGCAACACAAGCTTCCGTCTTCAGGTGGAACCGTCACAGCCCGACAGCTGTATCAAGTAAATGAGAGATTACAAGAGATACCACTCCGTATATATAATGGTTAAGGGGGGGAAGGGCCAGGAACGGCACACTTTTTATTAATATGGTAAGGTGAGGCTTAAGACTATGAATAGACTGCATAACAAATGACTGAGCCTTTGTTATGGAGAGGTGCGGTTTGTGACTACGCCTAGCCTATGTAACAAAATGCTGCAAATGAGACCGAGCCTCTGCCATGTCGATGGTAATACGTGACTTTACTGAAAAAACCTAAGAATATGAGCCAAGAATGTCTGTGTGCAACGCTCGTGACGTCACTCCACGTCGACCAGCCCCCCTCAATAATCATGAGCAGGCGACGTCCTCCAAATGGACACCCCCCCCCCCCCCCATTATTATAACCTACTATAATGAGCCAAGAATGTCTGTGTGCAACGCTCGTGACGTCACTCCACGTCGACCAGCCCCCCTCAATAATCATGAGCAGGCGACGTCCTCCAAATGGACACCCCCCCCCCCCATTATTATAACCTACTGTAATGAGCCAAGAATGTCTGTGTGCAACGCTCGTGACGTCACTCCACGTCGACCAGCCCCCCTCAATAAACATGAGCAGGCGACGTCCTCCAAATGGACACCCCCCCCCCCCATTATTATAACCTACTGTAATGAGCCAAGAATGTCTGTGTGCAACGCTCGTGACGTCACTCCACGTCGACCAGCCCCCCTCAATAATCATGAGCAGGCGACGTCCTCCAAATGGACACCCCCCCCCCCCCCCATTATTATAACCTACTGTAATGAGCCAAGAATGTCTGTGTGCAACGCTCGTGAAGTCACTCCACGTCGACCAGCCCCCCTCAATAATCATGAGCAGGCGACGTCCTCCAAATAGACCCCCCCCATTATTACCTACTATAATGAGCCAAGAATGTCTGTGTGCAACGCTGGTGACGTCACTCCACTTAGACCAGCCCCCCTCATTAATAATCATGAGCAGGTGACGTCACTCCACATGGGGGGGGGGCTAGGCGCCTCCTCCTCCCCCCCTCCTCGGGGTCAACTCACAACCCTCACTCACAAGGCAGAACCCTCACGTCACGTGGTCTCCGTCACGCTGTTGTTGAGACATCAGAGTAAAAAGGACGTCACGATGAACAAGGGATTATAACCTTAAAATGAAATAAGTCTGTGTCACAGCAGCCTTACAAATTGCACACGCATTGATGCAATGAATATATCACGTCGCGGCAAAAAAGAAAAATATTATTTTATTATTTAAAAAGGGAATACAAATATTATTATTTTATTATTAAAAAGGTAAAATTATATTATTTTATTATAAAAAAGGTAAACTAATTATAAAATAATATTTTTATTTTACTTTTAAAAAAGGAAAAATAAAAATAATATTTTATTATTAAAAAACGATACATTGGTAATAAAAATAACGATATTATTTTATTATTATTATTTACCTGCGTGACTTTACCGAAAGAACCTCAGAGTAAGAAACGCGACAACTCATTATCCGCACTAAAAAACGTCTTATTGGCAACCTTTATAATTAAAAATCATTACTCGCGCAACAGAGCCGCTCACTTTACACTCCCCATCGATCCGTTTATCAAATTCGTACAATTTGTTTGCTGGTTATTCGAAGAAGGCGATCAGAAACTCACGCGATTTAGCTGATCGTAGATGATTTGCCTCAGCTCCGACACCTTCTCGGGAGGCAACGTCATCTTTCCCAGCCTCTCCTCCTTCTCCCTCGCCAACCTTGTACACCTTGGCGATACAAAAGTGCGAGTTTTAAAGTTGATATCTTTGCCAAATGTAACAACTTTTGTTAAGCGCCGCGCTTGGCGCGGGTGACTGGAAAATAAACACGTGCCAGTGATTTGATTTCGCAGCGCGCTTAGGCGCACCTTAGCCAATGGGATGGCGAGGATGGCAACGGATGGCGCCTATCGAGACTAGCAAATACAACGTGACGTTCCCGCCAATTAGGTTTAAAGGGCGGGAAACGATGACGTGAAACAATTAAAAATTTAACGTTCGCGTATTAATATCGCGTGGGGTACACATTCGCTACTCGCTCGTGCAGCTGGGCGAATATAAATGTGTCGCGTTAAAAAATATAGACGAACGAAAAAAGGCACGGTTTTTTTTTTAACCCCTCAGAAAGTGACGTTTTACGATGGGCGACCGAGCAATGCTGTGGACCTCCCCCCCCCACTGACATCACTGATGAGCGACTCCACAACGCAAGTGGCGTGTTCGATGTTTCCCCTCACAAAACAACAAACATTGATTTATTAACAACATATCTTCCTTAGATTGTTTCTACGTTAAGGGTTTTTAAAATGTTCGTACCTGACAAGGAGGCGGATTTTGGCGGCAACTTTAAAGGCTTCACCCTGATACTCGTGAGTTTTTGCTTTTGATTAAAAAAAATGATTGTATCCGGTAGTAAGCAGGCAATGCGCCTCCAACATACATCTACAAATTATTAAAATATAAAACTTAAGAGTTTGTTTTATACGTCGGATTAGGCGCACGGGGCTTTATCGGGGTGCGTGATGTCAGCAGAATTGTTAGATTCTGGTGTTAAGATGTTAAAACATCAAATAACATTTTGCAAGGCTTGCTTGAACCAATTTGTAAAGGCAGGTGAAGCTCTCTCATATATATGTGTTTATAGTTTTAATCTTGTCTGAGATAATTACATTGTTTTCAATTTTAATGTGTGACATTTGTATATTGTAGTAATACGATAATAGTACTGTACTTGCATTTCACTTGGGACCCATAACGTAAATACAAACGTCTCGACGCAATTTCTTAGCACATGGGAGCCTCCTAATGGCAACTCGTTTCTTTATCAATCGTAATTGTGCTGTAAGTATCTACTATTAAAACTAAAACCCTTTAAAAGATGCGCTAAAATGTGTAATGTTCTATGCGGAAATCAAACAATACAAATATTGCCCTGTGAAATGGAGGCACCGTAAACTCGTAAAGGTAATCATTCAATATAACAATATAAACACCCAAAACAAACTAGCCCCTTGTTGTAGAAAAAAACACCAACACTTTAAAAAAATACAAAATAACATTCAATCAACAAAATAATCAACATTCAACGGCCCTTAATAGACAAAAGTTTGTAGTATTTAGCTGCTATACATTTTCACGTGATAAGCCACTCCGTTGAGCTATCATTCTTGGCCAACTTGGTGGGTCTTTACCCGTTAAAAAAAATTAAAAAATGTTTTTAGTTTAAGTGTTTTTACGGCGATAAGAGGGACCCGTGCCTCGGTGTCCCTGCCCAGCCTGGGCGCACCCTCCCCGGCAGAGCCGCTATCCGAGCACCGTAGTCTCATCGCGGCCTACCGACGGTGCCGTCTTTCCATACGCACGGCGATTCTTGTTTAAATTTCGTTTCTTTATCCCCATTCTAGATTTGAAGCTTTCGTGACTGCAAGGATTCATACTCTTAGGTTTTTTTCGGTAAAGTCACGTAGGTAAAAATAAAAAATCGTTTAAGTTTTTTTACGGCGATAAGAGGGACCCGTGCCTCGGTGTTCCTGCCCAGCCTGGGCGCGCCCTCCCCGGCAGAGCCGCTATCCGAGCACCGTAGTCTCATCGCGGCATACCGACGGTGCCGTCTTTCCATACGCACGGCGATTCTTGTTTAAATGTCTTTCCTTTACCCATTCTAGATTTGAAGCTTTCGTGACTGCAAGGATTCATACTCTTAGGTTTTTTCGGTAAAGTCACGTAGGTAAAAATAAAAATTAAAAAATATATAAATAATAATATAAATAACATTATTATTATTTTATTTCTATTATACATATTATGATCCTGTTTCGTATTCCGTATTGCAATAATGGCCCTACTAATGTCTGCCTGCAGGCCAGTTATTGAATCGCCTTGTGCAGCACACGGACAGCTGCCAAGGGGGGTGCCCTTTTTAATGCTTGAGAGGAGATGTATGCATGTTGAACTTCCTTCGCACCGTACGTAGCCAACCGTGCTAATCGGATGTGATGCAAGTTGCTTATCGTGTGTAAAGCATTCTGAGTCGTTTGGGCATGAAGGGCGTTGTATGAAAACAAATTGTTATTGTTACAGTTTGGCTTTCGGTTGCTGAACGAATGCATTATTATAATCTCGCTCAAGACACCACACAAAGTGCTTTCCACAAATGAACCACAGTGCCTTGCTGATCTCGTCAAGGAACATAAACCGTCACGCGAATTCCGGTCATCCTTACAGCAGCGGCTTTTGGCTAACCATCGAACGAAGACCGTCACAGCATCGCACGCCTTCAGATGCGTTTCTGCGGCCGTCTGGAACGCTCTTCCTTCCAATCATAGGAAGCGACTGGGAGCTGTGCACTTTTAAATCTAAGTTGAAAACTCATGTCTTTAGAACTGCATTTTGTGTTTAGCTTGTCTTTCCCCCGCACTTCCGATTAGCATGGCAGGCTACGTACGTTGCGGAAGAAGTTCAACATACATACATTGTTATAAATAACGAATGTATTGTTGCACCTTAACCCCGACCTTCTTGGTTTGTCTTTCGTCTCGGTTGTCCCCATTCGCCTCCCCCTCCCACCTCCTGTATCGCCAGCCCACCGTCTCGGTAGGCAACGTGCCGCAGCTGACGCAGGACGTGCTGGTGGTGACGCTGCGCGCCCGTCGCGCCGGCTTCCTACGCTCCTCGTGCTACGTGCCGCTCGTCGGCAACAACCCGTACAGCGAGGGCGGCGCCGACGCCGACCGACTGCACGTCAGCACCGAGGGTGAGTGCTCGCAGAGCTGCGTTGGCGTCCGGTTGCCGGATGAATGCAAAGTAACGGTGTTCTTCGCTAATTTTCAGAGGATGGGGGGGGGGGGGAATTATGGAATATGTGCACATGTTTCCGTGAAGATCCATCTCCTCTCCAACACAAGGCTCCTGGTGCTCGAAGCCTCCGTGTGTGTGTCTCTGTCGCGTGAGTAGTGTACGTGGCACCTGACAAGCAGGTGGCGCTCGTCCAGATTCGATCTCCCATCATCAAGGTGAGACAAATGAGGTCTTGTCACGAACATCATCACTTACCATCACACCTCACCCGCTGCTAATAGCAATTAGTGCTGCATCAACATCCTGGTTGGAGGTTGACTCAGCCCATCATCTCTTCGGGATCAATAAAATGAGGACCGCTTTGTGGGGGGGAAGTCAACGGTGATTAGCCTATGGAGAAGCTCACCTGCCATAGAAACGTAGAATTTCCATCATTGGGCTGAGGGCTGTAAACGGGAGATGACGATTAACTCAACGGTCATCCGAGCAAGAAATCGCTTTTTTTTACTTTTAACAGTGCGAATAGAAGGCACGTCACGACGCGTTTCTTCATCGATTGAAATCGATGCTTGCGCTCAACATACGTGCATAAGAACCGTGTGAGTGAGAGTCTATTATATAGGTGTGTATGCGAACCGGATACTGGTGCATGATCATAGAATCCTGTGCGTTGTGAGCGCAGGGCCGTAGGAAGCGTGCCCGCCGCGAGATGCTGGACTGGGCGGAGGCTGGCGGGTTTTCTCGCGTCGTCATCCTCTCCAGCAGCTTCGCTCACATGCGCACTGACAAGCAGCTTGTTGGGTGAGTGATGAGCTCGCTTGCTCAGTTGCTCGCTCAGTCACTCATGCGGTCGCTGCCCCGAAATTTCACTTGCATGCTTACGCTGTTGCTTGCTCGCTCGCTCACTTACCCAGTTGCGCATGCACCACTGACTTTCTTAGTCACTCATTCATTAATTCATTTACCCTGCTCACTCACTCGCTTGACTTGCTTTCCTGCACATTCACTTACCCACTTATGCATCCACTCGCGAGCTCAATCACTTGCTTGGTCAGCCACTGACTGTTCACTTGTGCTTGCATGCTTACTCGCCTGCTCGCTCACCTACTTACCCACTCAATCACCAACTCACGTGTTAACTGCTTACTCATACACTTGTTTGCTCAATAACCCACTCAATCACCCAATAACCAACTCCTACATCCACCCATCCTCTCACTCATTCCCTCAGGCTCTTGTTCACTTATTTACTCAACCACCTACCCACCCACTGATCCATTACCCTACAGGGATTCCGTCATCACAATTCAACTACTCATCCACTCACCAAAATACGCACTTTCTCACCCACCCACCTCATCCAATCACCCACCCACTCACTTGCCCACCCATTCTCCCACCCCCTCACCCCGTCCTCTCCAGCCCACCCTACCGGTTTCTACTCTCCCCGTCGCTGGAGGCCACGGAGAGGCCTGTGGTGGAGGCCCTGGGCTGGACACAGCTGGAGCCATCTGAGGTCATCCCCGGGCTGGGAGGGCCCCCCGAGCTCGCCATCCCCGGAGGGGGGCTCTCAAAGGGTCTCTTCGTGGACGGGTGAAGTATGGGAGGGGCGGCGTGGGCGGGGGACGACGCGGTGCAGTGGGGCGGGACGCATGAGAGCTCGGAGCGAGTCGGGATGTCAAGCAGGGTTCGAACCTGGCTCATCCCACAGCTTGAAGGATAACATAACCCAGGGAACAAACTAGGAACAAATTTGCTCTTGTACGTAGTAGCCTATAGGCTTTGTGTTCCGGTTGTCTGCTACAGGTTTGAAGCATTGTTTCTCAGAGAAATAGCTTTTTCTTTCTTTCTTGGTGGTCTTTTTGTCATCGTGCTGTTCTCGGCGCCATTTCGTTGGACGAAGAATCAACTTGGAAATCACTGAGAAATGGCCTATGAAAGAGAGGTTTCACAGGGGCTTCCGAATCCCTCACGTGGCCTTTCAATGCTGTACACAGTAGGGGGCGCACTTACGCCAAGAGGATCACTCATAAACTACAAAATCGGCCCTGGCAATGACAACATTTACCTGCTAGTGGAGTGCATCATTAATCATGGTCCCGTGTTTTTGAGCATTCTAGAGGAAATCAGTGAGCAGTTGGACAGCGGGAGGGCGCATAGGGGAAACTCTTGCTGCGTGAGTTTCCTCCGGGTTCTCAAATTTCCTCCATAGCTAAATAAACCGTACAGTGGTACTGGTAATGGCCAAACATTCCAATGCTGAACAACTACCGACACAGCAGCAACATTGCCACCTACTGCAAAAAACATGGCAGGACCTTCCTGAAGAAAATATTTTTGAGACCCAGAGGCCTAGCTGTGTGGCTAAACAAGTGTAATAGCAATAATAAGAACAACGCATTTTAGATTACGGCACATCGGCAAAGGACGGGGAGTAGAGTCAAAGATGTAATGGATGGAAAAAAGGTGGTAAAAGGATTCTGGGGATTGAATTCCCTAAGACGTACAAAGGAGGGCATGGCAGAGATGAGCAGCAGCAAGACAGAAGGAGACGCGCCGGGCAGGATGGGGAGGAGGAGAAGGAGGAGGAATGACCGGGCCAAGATGGAAGAGAGGAGATGGTGATGGTGAGAGAGGAGGGGAGGGAAGAGAGAGAAGAGAGAAGGAATAAGCGAGCAGAAGTGAGCTGTTTTCACAGGGGGCCGGTGAAGAGAAGGGGGTGGGCCACACAGAAGTTACACGATTATTGTTTTTTTGTTTTGTTTACGGGAGGTTTTAGCTGATTTCGATTGATGAATAAGTTGGAACACGGGACCGAGGCACTGACCGCACACGCTGCGTGGTTTTGTGTGTGTTTGTGTGCGTCAGGAGCGCGCGGGGGCTGCCCGTGGCCGTCCTGCTGGCGTTCTGCTCCGAGGGAGACAACATTCCGGACGCGCTCGCGCTTGCCGACCGCCTGCAGCAGTGGCTGCGCCTTGCTGATGTCGCGGTAAGAGGCAAAGCCCCTGTGGTGGGGGGGGAGTTCTCTTAAACTCCAACGGTGAATTTCCCGCAAAGGAGCATAGTTTCATACAATTGTCTACATAAGGTTGGGGATTTGTATTTATAGGGTGCCAGGCGAGGTAGTTAACATTTTGCCAGATTTCAACAAAAATTTGGTACGATCCTCCTGCAAGCAAGTTGGGAGACATGTTGACTTAAATAGTAGGTGGGTTTGGGCAGGGCACGTCACGGCTAGAAGGGGTGACACCCGACGGTCTAGGTTGATAACGGAGTGCCAACCGAAGGTGGGAACGCATCTGAGAGGGGGTGTCTCTTTATGGAGATGGAGCAATTAAATCAGCATATGTGCTGGAGCTAGTTGGGATTGTCACATCGTGGGAGGACCATGGCAGTTTGGGGAGGTCTTCATCCAGCAGCGGATGGACTATGGTTGATAAATGTCAGAAGGGCTGTGTACGTCTATCGTCAAAGCTTTGACACGTGCGCACACGTGTGTGTGTGTGTGCGCATTCATGCAGGAAGGAGAGTCCACTCCAAGGTGGAAAACTCCGAGCTCGTGGAAGATGCTCTTTGGAGGAGAGATCCCTCCATCCCTCTTCTGACCAACGCCCCCCCCCTCGCCCCCACAACAACCTCCACTCAATCCTCTCGCCATCTGACCTCTGACCTTCAGCCCCTGACCTTAAACTGCCACCGACCTCTTTTCAGCCATCACAGCAGCACACGGCACTTCGATTTTCTCAGCCGTTTGTCGGGTAACAGAGTTATGCGTCGAATGAATTTTCAGCATTAAGGAAAAGAAGGAAAAAAATCTAATCATCGAGAGATTTTGTATGAAACATCTCCAGGAATTTAACGATTAATTTATTAATTGATTAATATCGATTCTTACGCTCACGATAACCCCGTCAACCGGATGCCATTGAGAAGCCTTCATCCAGCTGTCAATCGAATTTCCGTATGATTTTCGTTTGTTCTGGTAATGCCGGTAAGCACTAGAGGCGCTATCGTGCACCACAAGGTGAGAGCAACCATTGTTTCAGGTTTACTTTATTTAACGAGGTGAGAACTCAAAGAGACATCACGTCTTTTACTGAAGCATTTGAAAGGGCACCCCCAGTGGCAGCTGTCCCATGTGCAGCACGCGGTGATTGCACGTGGCCTGCGTTTGGGCAGTACTCTATTTATATTCTTAGGTTTTTTCGGTAAAGTCACGTAGGTAAAAAAATAAAATGAATAAAAGTAAAATAAAATAAAAATCACGACGTTTCGGAGGCAACACAAGCTTCTGTCTTCAGGTGGCAGAAGGGTGATTGCTCCTCTTGTGTCCAATCCCAGTTCAGTAGTTTGCTGTGTAACGTTTTTCGAGTTTGGCAAATTTGGACATCGACGGCACACAGTGGCCAGCTGCTCTTGCGAGTGATGTCGGAGGATCTTTAATGCCCACTGTACAACAGACGGCGTGTAGTTATTATGATTATTACAGAAGTAGCAATAACCAGGGTGGCCACTGGATTCGTACCACGTCCCCCCCCCTGTTAAATTGTCAGCAACTTCATTATATTGTAAAAAAGAAAATCATTCGAATATACGATGCAACGTGAAGAATTCTCGATGACAAAATGAATGAATGAACACTTGTTCTATATCGCCGCATAAAAAATAAAATATTGTTTTCATCCAACAGTCTTGGCCTTCCAGAATAATATCAATAAGCGTTTAGTTAAAAGGGTGGAAGGAGTGGGAGCGGTGGTGGAGCGGTTACCACACTGCCCGATGAACTCACCAACCTGAGTTCAATTCCAAAGCCACGGCTAACGTTGGTGGCGAGTGATGAATGAACCCTTTATCCCAACCTGTACTGACCGGAATGGGGAAGTATGGTCAAACAACCCCCATTACTGATGTGGTTATGAGGAAGCTTCATCTAGCAGTGGACTGCAATTGACTTTTTTTTATGCATTTGGTTGTTGATTTAAGAATTCGATGCTTCGACCCGGTTATCTGTTGCATCTTAATTTCATGAGCTAACGAATGACGGTATTTTAAGGGAACACCCTCTGGGTGTGCGGTCAATTCTTCAGTTGATTTATGAGTCCATGAATATATTGCTCATTAAAAAAACCCCATCTTTTACCACGTGTACAGTCCTATTCTGTAGGTTCATGTGGTCAATTGGAGAATGTTGATGTATCGTTCACCAGCATTATCATCGACCATGGTCAGTCCACTGCTGGATGAAGGCCTCCCAAAACCGCCACCACCTTTCGGAATCCTGCGCTGTCACCATCCACCCGGCACCTGCGTATGAACCGATTTTTATCGCTCCATCCCCGTAGTGGACTTCCTCTCAGATGCCGTTCCATTCCTTCGCTATATTTTAATGTATTGTTTTAAGGAAGCCAGTAGTAACCGACTGCAATGCCCAGGACATGTTTTGTCCGTGTGTCCATACGTCCGTGGCCATGGGACAATTCTCATTTTCACAAACTGCAATACCCCTTGAAAATAGCTATGAATTCACCAAAAAAAATCCCTTTAGAATGAATACCACATGGGTGGGCAACCGTTTGCTACCTGAGGACTGCATAGAAATATAAAATACCTTTCGTGGGCAACCACATTTACACACATGCTCCTGCAGTTCGTGACAGAATAGACTGTGGGTGGGTAAGTAGGTTTGTAAATCGGTGGCTGCGTGAGTGGATAGGTGAGTGATTGGATGGTTGAGAGGATGGGTTTGTGGGAGAGTGAGTGGGTCAAATGTCCCCTCTCTCAAGTGTCCGAATTAGTGCTGCTTAAGATGCTTGTGGTGACGTAAATCAATATTAGTTTCAGGCTTTTTCAGGGTGGTAGACTGCGTGTGGCGCACAGGCCGTGTAAAGTTAAGTTCTCCACCCTTGCCGTTGACAGAACCCAACAATAACCATCGCAATACGCAAGACACAATCTGCAAAGATTTTAATCCATTTTTTTTTCCTCTCCAACATTTTTCATCAAGCGCTAAAAATTACAGATACAGTCGGTGTTCTGGATACACGAACGAATCACCGGATATACAAAACGCATCGCATCAGTGTGCACGTCATATTTCTTTTTCATTACTCAAGATTTTTTAAAACTTCAGGATGATTTATGTCACGGGGTGTAATCGTGGGGTTTATGATCGTGGTGTTGGTCGATTTGACCTAAGGCAGCTACAAATACTTCGTTTTTCCAGATCAAGGCGGTTACGGCAAGTGCGTGCGAGCAACTTTACAGAAGACGCTTCTCTCGTACAAGTCGAGGGTTGGTGGACCACACAAGGATATGAGCCTTGAATTACAGCATTCTCTGCATCATAAGACGATCTGGAAAGTAAGACATCACCGCCTAAAGTCTGTTTGCCCAGTGTAAATAGAATGATATCAATCTGGTCACGCACATACAAATACAAAGATCCCCCCACCCCCCGCATAGCCTTTAACAGACTGTTGGGGCAAGTGCTGTTAGCGAGTAGCACATATGAAGGCCGGCACAACACACGAAGGCGGTGGGGTGGCCAACACCACGCCCGGTCGCCTTTGTACACCGAGGAGAGTCCCAGGACCGGTTCAGATAATCGTCACTGGTGTTGCCCGCGGGTCGCCGGGTTCGTTGCGCAGCGCGCTAACCACTGCGCCACCGCTCCCCACACACACACATGCACCTTCCAGATTGTAAGACTCGCCGACACCTTTTGCTTTCCGTTACAGGGGACAAAGCGCGTCTTATAATCCAGGAGAATTCTGTACTTATTTTGCCGGGAGCCTTAATGAGTGCCAGCCTTCTGGGCAACAAATATGCAGTGCAGCAAGTAGGTTGCGACCTAGAAACTAGTATGGGGTTTGAGAGCCGCTATCCCCTCGTACACGTGGCAGGTAGGGTTTTTTTTATCCCTCCGGGATTCAATCCGGTTTCCTCCCGCGCGATAACTACGTTCAAAAAGCAACTGGCAAAACGTCCCAACGTCAGTGGGAGCCTCATGACAATGAGTGTTGAGACTCTTCAGTGAGACTGTCTTGAGGATGCTTGGCGTATTTACTTCCACTCCGCTCTGAGGTATTGCGTCATTGCAGCCATCGGTCAGAGCGCAATATGCGGGCCGTGAGTTCTATCAGCAGCCACGGCTAACGTCAGTGGCGAGTGGTTGTCTGAGACAGACCTGGGGAAATCCTCTGACCCAGTTCACCAACCTCTGCACTGACCAGCGTGGTGAAGTCTGGTCAAACGACACCCCCCGCCCCCCGCCCCCCACTCTGCCCTCCTGCCCATGACTAACACAGTCTGTGGCGAGGCTTTCGTCCAGAAAGTAGGCCGACAAGAGGGCAGTCAAAGATAATATAGAAGATTGCACAGTGTCTTAACCATTGCGTAGAGGTACTCAATAAAAAGCGTGATATTTTCCATTCTGTAAAACTCCCCATCTCGAATTGAGCGTAGTTTCTATAATTTGTTATGCAGCTTCAGCTTTTAAATTAAAAACTTTTAAGGACTTGAGAATTTCAGCGATAAATATTTGCATAACAGCGGTATGCATAGGCATACATTCCACCTAAAGTAAAAACAAGCTTAAGAACTCACGTCCCCAAGTTAAAATGTAATCTCTGCATGGGTGTTTTGCCCATCCATTAGTATTGTAATGCCAATATGGCTTACCCTATAGCAGCGTTCAAATATATCTTCCCGTGGGCCACGTGACGTTATGCCACACGTACAAACGTTAAGTCACTTAGCGTCATGGTTTCATATCGGCTGTACCATCTACAGCCTTCATCTCTGTCTCATCTATTCTGGACCTCTTCACTCCATGTCTCTCTATCGCTTGTTCATCGACCTTTCAACTGCCAAATGTTTCTCTTGTCCACAGCCCTGTCATCTCCTTCCCTTGCTTATCTCCACCTTTATCTCACTCATCCGTGTCTCGTGATGTCTCGGGCCAGGCCACGTCTCAACGGGGCCAAATGTGGCTTGCGGGGCCGTCACTTGCAGACCCCTGCCCACCCATGCCATCTGCAATGCCCCCTAATCTCAACGCAGCTTGAGAACTGTGTCACCTGTGACGAGGTGGCCACTGCAAGGTGATAACGATCATCAAGCAGCAAGGAGTGCCGTGCCTGCAGAGCTTGCGTAGAGACTACATGCGCGCGCGTGTGTGATGTCGCACGCTCGTGAAATCTGTGCGGTGGCCGTGATGGTAGCGGTGGCTTGGGCGTTCGACGAATCGTCGATTCAGAATTGATCCTCTACGCTCGCGATGCGGCTTGTCCTACGAGGAGGACATCTGTGAAGAAGAGCTTCGTATTTTTCTTCTTGGTTCTTTCGGTAAAGTCACGTAGAATGGAAATAATAAAATAATAAAATAAAACCTAAAATAATTCCCACGATGTTTCGGCCACAACGCAGGCAGCCGTCCTCAGGTGGAGAACAGGTCTGTCGAGAAGACAGAGTCTGAATGACACGCCCCAGTCTTGGAGCGTCTATTTAAGCTGGGATGGAGGGGGGAAGAGCGCCTTGACAAAATAATTTGCATATCAAGAGGAATTTAGCTTCATAGCTCATCGGAGTATTTCAGTATAATTAAACATTCTGATCCTGATATCAATGAGAGGAGACATGTTTAAAGTGTTTTTTTAATTCTCATTATTATTGTTGTTCCAACTGCTTGGCTCTATACATTCTCCGTTAGCATCCTCCTGCTAGAATTACATTAAATCAACGTCTCGCTAATTCTCGTGACAACGGTGATCTGGAGCTTATTCGAGTTCACTGTGCAAGGGTATTTTAGCTACCGCCCGCAAGGCTTTCTTCGTGTGAGCAGACGCCTGCCTATTCGTTACAACAATCCCCCCCCCGTCTTGGTCTACCAATCGCATCGACCAACCGGTAAGACCATCTGAAAAGGGTTGTCTGCGCTATTCAAATGGAACAAAAAAAAACTTTTTTTCATTCCCCAGAATGCATTCGAAACAAATATTCTCAAATGCCGCTTTTGTCACGTGCATTGCACCCGAGCAAGTTCCACCGTCTGACACCACCTCGTGAGACTATTTCAAGCCTCCGTAAAACCTCTTGTTTCCTGAAGAAGGGGGTTAGCAGGCCGAAACGTCAATATCTTCCATTCCCCCAAGTAGCGGTTCAAAACAACAAAAAAACAACAACACAACCTCCCGTACTTAATTCTCAACCGCCCCGTTATTTTTTAAAATCCTTTATATTAAGTTCGCTTGCTTGCCTGCTTGCTTGCTTACTTGCTTACTTGCTTGCTTACGACCGTGCAAACCTTTCGGTCGTTTTTTAACCCACTTCCCGTGATCCAATCGAGCTGACATTTTGCACACAGACTCGTTGTGCGAGACAATTAATGTTCGTGAAAATTTTTTTCCAAAATTTTACACTGTTTAGGGAAAACAAATTAAATATTTAATTACCAATTGTTTATTACTGCAGACAATCATCTGACCCATAGGTGGCAGCCATCTGAAGCCAGAGGACGAGAGGACTCTAGCCGCCATGCATATAAAGGATTTAGAGTGAAAAACGTTGTTTTTACGGGTTATACTTATTCCGTCTTACGCCCCGATGCCCACATCGCGGGGAAATGCGCCCCAACGCCGTGAAATCTCAGAAGCTAACCCACGACGCATGTAAAAAGTTGTTCAGAGCATACAGGCTCCAAGAGCCTGCACGGTCGACAGCAGCATGGGGGAGACCGCAGCAAAACCACTTGGACTGTACTTCTATGGCTCCCACCACCGTTGCCAACCCGCACTGACCCGGCGTGTGTTGAACTGCGACCAAACGGCTCCCGCACAACTGCGTGCGCTCCGGACGCCCTCCCGATATTAGGAAGCTACTGGGAGCTTTGCACTTTGAAATCATCATCATTATCATCCACATTGAGAACTCATTTCTTTCAAACTACTTTTTGTGTTTAGTTTGTTGTCCTTCCCCCGCAGCCTCCGATGAGCGCGGTTGGCTACGTGCGGTGCGAAAGAAGTTCAAGTACGTTGGCTCTGCGGGAGGACTGGACGTGAAATTAAAGCCAGGCCTCCACGGTCGCGCGCTCGGATGACCCCGTGCGCGTCAGCGATGTTCCAATTAGCCAATTTAGCGGGCGCGCCAGTGACTACCACCACCACCGCCCCCCAAACCCGCTCACAAATGTTTTGCGCCCGAAACCGGAGATGCGCGCGTGCGCGCGTGTCCTTCCCCTGCGCTGACACCGTGCGTGACGTGCCTGCCAGAAACATCTCCACGGGAAAACGCAGAGAAAAATGAGCCACGAGAAATCGAATGGAGCCATCGCGGAGCTGGCAATTGGGATAATTTCACCGGGCAGTCGAGGCGGCGAACATCGACCTGTTCGCGCTCTTTGCATGAGCGACGCGTGGAGAAACAACAAGGAGCGGCTGCGACTCTGACGATCAAATCCAGGTTGGTGGTCCAACCCCAAGTTGATTGGAATCAACACTCGCACTCTGAAGACGTGCTCTTGAATCGCGCGTGTTCGTAATCGGTTATTAGGGACGTGTGCGCGTTACACGCAGAGGAAGGTTGTCTCTATGCTTACGAGGTGGGTCATGCAAACAGGCCAAGGATATGATTGGTTCTCGAACCGAATGGTGACCCTGAATCGTGACGATTCACCCTATTGCCGCTGAAAGGGGAAAACAAGGCAGCTAGAGAATCGATTCGTGAATTGAATCGCGATTCGTAAACCGTGACATTGCATCGCAAGAGATGGAACATACGATACAGAACGGCACAAAAAAGCCAAGAAATAAAGCGCTTCCTGAACTGGCCCGTGAGTCGGTAATCGTGGGGAACCTCGATACAACCACAAAATTGCCCGGGTCTCATAGAGCCCGAACAGGGCACCTCGGAATGAACCGGGCACGATGCGAATTTCCTAACGGATTTCACTTCAGTTCCCTCAGCCACCCTTCCACCGCCCCCCCCCCCCCATACATTTTGGCAAATCGTGGCGTGCTCATTCGCTCGCTTGCTTGTCGCCGTCTACAGAAATCTGAGCGCCCACCCACACCGCCGCCCCCGAGCGATATTTTTTTTTTCTCCATCATCACCGTCGCCGTGGTCACCACCACCACCACCATCGTCGCCACCGCCACCTCCACCGCCGTCATCATCACCACCACCGTCGTCATCGCCGATGTCGCCGTGATCACCGCCACCAATCGCCGCCGTCGCCGCCGCCGTCGCCGTCGCCATCACATGGACCTGATCCTCTCCTCCAGCGCGGCCATCTCGTCGAGGATCTCCCGGGGCAGGTCGTCACCGACCTCCTCCTCCAGGTACGAGCGAATCTCGGCTGCCTCCTCCTCCCAGAACGGGCGCGGCACGGAGAACAGCGCCTCCTCGTCCACATCCTCGGCCAGGCCGCTCAGGTCCAGCTCGCCGGGCGCCGGCACCACGCCGACGGCCGTCCGGCGACCCTCCGCGCGGCCCTCGAGCCGGCGCGTGATCCACTCGAGGACGCGGCAGTTGTCGCCAAAGCCCGGCCACAGGAAGTTGCCGGAAGGCCCCCGGCGGAACCAGTTGACGTGGTAGATGCGCGGCAGTTGCGCCGGGCTGGAGCGCCGGGCCATGCCGAGCCAGTGGGCCAGGTAGTGGCCAAAGTTGTAGCCGAAGAACGGGCGCATGGCGAAGGGGTCGTGCATGATGACCTTGCCTGGCAGGGGGAGGGGGGTGGGGGTAGCGGAGGGGTGGTGCGGGGGGGGGTCAGCGGGTGGTCGTGGTGGGTGGTGCAGGGGAGGGGGGGAGGGTAGTGTAGGGGGTAGCGGAAGATAGTGGAGGGCAGCAGAGGGTAGTACGGGGTGTGGGGGGGGGGTAGTGCAGGTGGGAGCGGGGGGAGGACTCCACAATTGTGGGTCGTTAACGTCGCAGAATCGGGAGAGACTGCGGTGGTGGCGGCGATCGCTGTTTGGAAGTATTCGTTCAGCAGTGGATCAACCGTGGCTGATCTAGCAATGTATGGTGAACTTCTTTTGCACCGTACGTAGCCAGCCGTGCTCATCGGGGAAGAACAACAAGCTAAACACAAAAAAGCAGTTCTGCCTAAACAACGGTGACATAACCGCCCATGCAATTAACTAACCCCCAGCAATCCCATGACCTGTTAAAATGTAAGGCCGCGATTGAACTCCTTCGAATTTAGAGTCGCATCGTATTCCTTTTGATGCTGCTGGCAGCGGTGGCTCCCGTGCACCGCTAGAACGGCATTGCCACGCTATGGTAGTGGCTCGCCGGACGTTCCGGCCAGCACCCGGAATTGAACCCGTACCTTTGTACTCTGCGGCCGCCGTGGCTTCCGACCTCATGGCGGCGCCGACGAACACTCCGTGCTGCCAGCTGAACGCCTCGAAAACCAGCGGCACGCCTGTCGCAAGCACGCCCCCAGGGACAACACGAAGACAGAGTTTGTTGGGGCAAGTGCTGTGAGCGAGGCCGGCGCCGGGAAACACGAGCGGGCGGGTGGCCAGCACCACGCCCGGCCTCCTTTGTCTCCCCGATGGCGATGTTTACACGCTGCACACGATGTACTCATTTGAGGCTGACTCGACCTAGGGGAGGCCCAGGACCGGTTCAGATAATCGTCACCGGTGTTGGCCGTGAGCGGGAATCGAACTTGGGCCGCCGGGTTCATTGCACACATGTACACAAATACAAAGACAACGATCCCCCGTATAGCCTTGACAGACTGTTGGGGCAAGTGCTGTTAGCAAATATTGGCAATTCTCTGCACTCGGCAGTGCGGTTTAATCCCAGAATGTGCGCACTCCATCTGTAATCTTGCCCGCAGATCACCGTCAACATCAGAGATCTACGTTCTCCGACGTTGATTTTCTGATACGGCCGGTACGTTAATGGTCCGCCCGAAGTTGGTGACATTCAGAACCATCCCCATCACCCATTGCAGCCAATCAAATGTATTGTGACGTGTACAATGTGGTTATTATTATTGCTGCTACGGTATTATTGCTGTTGTTGTTTCAGCTCACTCACCCAGTACAGTTAGGGGACAATTCTCACAGCCAAATTTGGTGGCGATTAGAGACGCGGCGTTTTGCTTGAAACTGCATCAAGAACATGATCCAGGACGCCAGAATAACATTCCAGGAAGTCATTATTCTGATTCATGAAGCCAGAATTATGATCCAGGAACCCAGAATAACAATCCGGGAAGTCATAATTCTGATCCAGGAAGGCAGAATTCTGATCCAGGAATTCAGAATTCTGATCCAGGAAGTCAGATTTATGATTCAGGAACCCAGAATAATAATCCGGGAAGTTATACTTCTGATCCCGGAACCCAGAGAAAGAATCCAGGAATTCAGAATTCTGATCCAGGAACCCAGCATAACAATCCAGGAAGTTATACTTCTGATCCCAGAACCCAGAGAAAGAATTCAGGAATTCAGAATTCTGATCCAGAAGCTAGAATTATGATCCAGGAACCCAGAATAACAATCCAGGAAGTTATACTTCTGATCCCGGAATCCAGAGAAAGAATCCAGGAATTCAGAATTCTGATCCAGAAGCTAGAATTATGATCCAGGAACCCAGACTAACAATTCAGGAAGTTATACGTTTGATCCAGGAAGCCAAAATAACAATCCAGGAATTCAGAATTCTGATCCAGGAAGCTAGAATTAAGGATCCAGGAACCCAGAATAACAATCCAGGAAGTTATCCTTTTGATCCAGGAAGCCAGAATAACAATCCAGGAACTCAGAATTCACACATTTCATTTACACAATCTGTCCGCCATTTTTTTTTTCCACAAATCAACTAATCGTGAGGTTCGCTGCGAACGCTCGCGACGCATCCCGTATCGACCCCCCTCACCCGGCGCACGCTCCTACCGGCTGGCCTGCGCCCGCCAAAGATGATGGCGTCGATGGGGACGCCCTCGGGGGCCTCCCAGGCGGGGTCCTGAGTGGGGCACTGACAGGCCGGTGTGCAGAAACGCGAGTTGGGGTGCGCGCACGGCTCCTTGTCACCTGTGCGGTGGTTGGGGAAGGGGGTAAGAGGTGGGGGGTCCCCACATCGGCGCCGTGAGTCCCTCCTCCTCCCTCTCGAATCCCTTTGCGACCCCCCAACTCGTTACTGCGAGACCCCCCCCCCCCCCCCCACCGTGTACCGCCACCCCGGCCTTCTGCCTCGTCTCGTCATTCCGAGCGTCTCGATTCTCCCCTGCACATCCCCACCCACCCACCCCCGTGCCCTCTCCCCCCCCCCGTGTGTCCCCCCATCTCCCCCACACCCCTGCGTGCCCCCTCTCTCCTTCCCATGCCCCCCCCCCCTTTCCCCCCTTGTGTCTCCCCTTGTGTCCCCCCTCCCCCCCCCACTGTGCATGCACCCCCTGCCTCCCCTTGAGTTCCTTCTCTCCCCCACATGCCCCTCCCTCTTCCCCCCCTCCGTGCTCACCACCCCCCCTTTGCCCTCACCACGCCCCCCCCCTCTACCCTCACTACCTCCCCTCTGCCCTCACCACCCCCCCCCCACCACCCCCCTCTGTCCTCACCACGCCCCCCCCCTCTACCCTCACTACCTCCCCTCTGCCCTCACCACCCCCCCCCTCACCACCCCCCTCTGTCCTCACCACGCCCCCCCCCCTCTACCCTCACCACCCCCTCTCTGTCCTCACCATCACCCCCCTCTACCCTCAGCCCCCCCCTCACCACCCCCTCTCTGTCCTCACCGTCACCCCCCTCTGTCCTCACCACCCCCCTCACCACCCTCTCTCTGTCCTCACACGCCCCCCTCACCACACCCCCTCTGTCCTCACACGCCCCCTCTCTGTCCTCACCACCCCCCCCTCACCACCCCCCTCTGCCCTCACCCCCCCCTCACCACCCCCCCCCCTCACCACCCCCCTCTGCCCTCACCCCCCCCCCCCGCGCCCTCCTCACCAGGCTGCCACGTCTGGTTGCGCCAGGAGGTGAGCGTGGCGCCGGGCGGCAGCTGCTCGTCGATGCCCTCCCAGTAGACGCCACCCTCCTGCGTCTCGCCCACGTTGGTGAACACCGTGTTCGAGTGGATGGTGCGCATGGCGATGGGGTTGGTGCGAACCGACGTGCCGGGCGCCACCCCGAAGAAGCCGTTCTCGGGGTTGATGGCGCGGAGGCGGCCTGCGGGGACGAGGCAACGGGGGGGGGGGGGGGGGGTTACCGCCGGTGACGTTTTCACGATTACGCAACCCCCCCCCGCCCCTCACTAAACGGGGTAGGCGGCACGTTAACGCGCGGAGATGTTAACTACCTCGCCTGGTATGCAGGAGGTCGTGGGTTCAATCCCGACCCTGACGCCTGCTGTATATTTGGAGTTTGCGTGTCTCTCTCTCTCATCATCATGGTGGCTAGGAGATGTTAACTACCTCGCCTGGTGTGCAGGAGGTCGTGGGTTCGATCCTGACCCTTACGCCTGCTGCTGTATATTTGGAGTTGCGTGTCTCTCTCTCTCTCATCATCATCACGGTGGCTAGGAGATGTTAACTACCTTACCTGGTATGCAAGAGGTCGTGGATTCGATCCTGACCCTGACACCTGCAGTTTATTTGGAGTTTGCGGTGTCTCTCATCATCATCATCACGGTGGCTAGGAAATGTTAACTACCTCGCCTGGTATACAGGAGGTCGTGGGTTCGATCCTGACCCTGACGCCTGCTGCTGTATATTTGGAGTCTGCGTGTCTCCCTCCGGGTCCTCCGGTTTTTCCCTCCACATTTAGAATCAACATCGTGCCTTTAGAGTATTTGGCTGCTATACATTTCCACGCGTGATGATGGTAAGCCACTTCGTTGAGCCATCATTTGTGGCCAGGTGGCTTCTGAAAAAGAGCTACGTAGCTCAGTGGGGCCTCACCTGGTCAAATAAAAAATAGTTTAGTATCTACAGCCTCGGCTGATTCCGTCCCGTATTGATCTTTTCTGGAATTCTATTTTTCCCTCTCCTCCCTCCCTCACCCCCATCCCCCACCCCCTCCCTCCCCCTCTCCTTCCCTCTGACCCCTCCCTCCCCCTACCCACCACCCCCTCCCCCTACCCACCCACCCCTCCCTCCCCCCACCCACCCACCCCTCCCTCCCCCCACCCACCACCCCCTCCCTCCCCCCACCCACCACCCCCTCCCTCCCTCCCCCCACCCACCACCCCCTCCCCCCACCCACCCACCACCCCCTCCCCCACCTTCGCTGTCGAACTTCATCCAGGCGATGTCGTCCCCCACGCACTCCACCTTCCAGCCGGGCAGCGAGGGCGTCATCATGGCCAGGTTGGTCTTGCCGCACGCGCTGGGGAAGGCCGCCGCGATGTACTTCTTGCGACCCTCGGGGCTCGTGAGGCCCAGGATCTGACGGGGAAGACGAGTGCATGTGGGCGCGTGCGTGCCAAATTCATCCGTCGCTTGCCGACAGCGTGTTCCAACCCACGCTGGGCCGTCCCCCAGACACAATGCGCGTTCATAGCGACCGCGCGCGCTGTGCTCCCGTGAGTTGACTTGCCGATGGAACGTCTGCACCAGTTTGAAAGGTTCACGCCGACGATCAGTTATTGGGTATATGTAGCCAGGCTGGATTGTTGCGAGGGAGCTCACAGATCCTTGAGAGATCTGGACACAGTCCCATCGGTGAGCTCCTCCGGCAGGCGAGGCTGGGTCATGTAGCCCGCATGCCCAGCCACCGCATGCCCAAGCAGCTTCTGTTTGGCCGCATAGAGGGGGCTAAACGGGCACGGCACGGAGAGGAGATGGAACTGATGCGGTACGGGAGGATGTGGAGTTTAGTGGACTTGCCGATGACCGGTGCCAGCGGTGTCAAGATCGGCCTCTATGGTGGAGGCTGCTGGAGGACGCTGCTGCTGCCACTGGGCAGTTGGAGGCAGTCGCCCTCCAACAACAACAGCGGATGGCGGAGGAGCGACGCTCGCATCAACGAGCGGAGCACCGGGGCAAATAAAACGCGGCGAGTTGGCACAGTGGGGAGCACAGGTGCTGCATCTGCCGGTAGTCGTCTCAGTCAGTCCACCCACGGGCATCTGGGTCTGCCGGGTGACCTGCCAGCAGCGATCCTCCGACACGACACGTGGTTTCAAAGTGCACCCAGCCTGGCACAGGCGCACGTGGCAATGCCACCGCCACTTAGTGACGAACGTCGGCCGTGGTCGTCGCCTTTATTTTATTTGTTCAACTGGGACATCTGTGAAAAAAGAGCTTCATCAGCTCATCGGATTCCTCTCCAGGGTAAATATTCTCATTCCGATCTCCATCATCGGCCCTGACCCGGCTCGCTACGGCGGGCGAGGGGGGATGGTGGGGGGAGCTCTTCGCCTTGTGGGGTACTCACCAGCATGTGCTCGGCCAGCCAGCCCTCGTCACGCGCCAGGCTGGACGCGATGCGCAGGGCGAAGCACTTCTTGCCCAGGAGGGAGTTGCCTCCGTAGCCGCTGCCGAACGACATGATCTCCCGGCGCGCCGGGAGGTGAGCGATCAGCGTCTTCTCTGGGTTGCACGGCCACGCGGGGCCAGGGGAGGCTGGGTCGTGGCGGGGAGGGGGTTGTGGGGAGAGACACGGGGGGGGGAGACACGGGGGGAGAGACACGGGGGGAGACATGGGGGGGGAGACACGGGGTGAAGACATGGGGGATGAGACATGGGGTGAAGACATGGGGGGAGACATGGGGGGAGAGACACGGGGGGAAACACGGGGTAAGACATGGGGGGGGGAGACACGCGGGGAGACACGGGGTAAGACATGGGGAGACAAGGGGGGAGACATGGGGGGAGACACGGGGGAAGACATGGGGGGAGACATGGGGGGAGACATGGGGGGAGACACGGGGGGAGAGACACGGGGGGAGACATGGGGGATGAGACATGGGGTGAAGACACGGGGGGAGACACGGGGGAAGACATGGGGGGGAGACATGGGGGGGAGACACGGGGTGAAGACATGGGGGGAGACATGGGGGAGACACGGGGGGAGAGACACGGGGGGAGACATGGGGGGAGACACGGGGGGAGAGACACGGGGTGCAGACAAGGGGGGAGACATGGGAGGAGAGACACGTGGGGAGACATGGGGGGAGAGACGCGGGGGGAGACACGGGGGAAGACATGGGGGGGAGACATGGGTGGGAGACACGGGGTGAAGACATGGGGGGAGACATGGGGGGAGACACGGGGAGAGACATGGGGGGAGAGGCACGGGGGGAGACATGGGGGGAGACACGGGAGGAGAGACACGGGGGGAGACATGGGGGGAGACATGGGGTAAGACATGGGGGGAGACATGGGGGGAGAGACATGGGGGGTGAGACACGGGGGGAGACACGGGGGGAGAGACACGGGGGGAGAGAAACATGGGGAGAGACGGGGAGAGACACGTGAGGAAAGCGATGGGGTAAGACATTGGGGAAACATGGGATACAGACGGGGTGATGCACGCGGAGAGAGATAGACAGGACGAGATGTGGGGATAGACACATGGAGAGAGACACATGGAGAGAGACACATGGAGAGAGACACATGGGGAGAGACACATGGGGAGAGAGACGTGAGGATGAGATTGGATAAGAGCATCTGTATGTATTCAGCTATGATCCATACGTCATAGGAGGCAATACACATTGGTTATACACATTGTTATTTAGACACAACTGTACGTAGCGTACGTACCCATGTGTACTCGTGTGCCCGTGTACCCGTGTGTGTCAGTGTGTACTCGTGTGCCTGTGTGTGTCAGCGTGTACTCGTGTGCCCGTGTGTGTCAGTGTATACTCGTGTGCCTGTGTGTGTCAGTGTGTACTCGTGTGCCCGTGTGTGTCAGTGTGTACTCGTGTGCCTGTGTGTGTCAGTGTGTACTCGTGTGCCTGTGTGTGTCAGTGTGTACTCGTGTGCCTGTGTGTGTCAGTGTGTACTCGTGTGCCCGTGTGTGTCAGTGTGTACTCGTGTGCCCGTGTGTGTCAGTGTGTACTCGTGTGCCCGTGTGTGTCAGTGTGTACTCGTGTGCCCGTGTGTGTCAGTGTGTACTCGTGTGCCTGTGTGTGTCAGTGTGTACTCGTGTGCCTGTGTGTGTCAGTGTGTACTCGTGTGCTCGTGTGTGTCAGTGTGTACTCGTGTGCCCGTGTGTGTCAGTGTATACTCGTGTGCCCGTGTGTGTCAGTGTGTACTCGTGTGCCCGTGTGTGTCTGCATGTACCCGTGTGTGTCAGTGTGTACCCGTGTGCCCGTGTGTGTCTGCATGTACCCGTGTGTGTCAGTGTGTACCCGTGTGCCCGTGTGTGTCTGCATGTACCTGTGTGTGTCAGTGCGTACCCTCGTGCTCGTGTACCCGCCCCACTTACCGGAGCTTGTGAGAGGCACCCCCACGGAGTGGAGGCACCGCACGAAGTCGCGTCCGTCGCCCAGCGCCTCCGTGACGGCGGCGCCCATGCGCGTCATGATGCTCATGCTGGCCACCACGTAGGGCGAGTCGGTCACCTGCACGCCCAGCCGCGCCAGCGGCGACTCCGGCGGGCCCATGCTGAACGCCATCACGTACATGGTGCGGCCTGGCCGTTGTGGGAGGGGGGGAGAGACGGAGGGAGGGTTCAAAGTTGCCGGACGCTGTCACGAACCGTCCGCGGCGATGGCGATGGGTTTTTTGTACGGCCAGTCGAGACGATGATTGCAAGTGGTGCAGCCATTCAATTTGCTTTGCTGCGAGAGTTGGTGGCATTCCACCAACACGCGTGCTCACTCAAGCACTCACGCCCACCCACTCACTCACCCACTCGCTCACTCACTCACAAACTCAGTCATCCAGTCACCCACTCACGCACCCAATCAGTAACTCACCCACCTACTCACTCACACACTCAGTCATCCACCTGCTCACCCACCCACTCACCGACCCACTAACTCACCCACTTATTCACTCACTCATCCACCCACCCACTCACTCAACCACCCACCCACCCACTCACCCACCCACTCACCCACGCACTCACCCACGCAACTCACTCATCTATCAACCCGCTCACTCACCCACTCATCCGCTCTCCTGTGTAAGTGATTGCTCTCTCCACAAGTCGACAGTGACCAGGCTGACACCATAGACTCCGCTCACTGGGAGCTCACCCAGTTCTCTGAGCCCCTGAGAGTCACCCAACCCAACTTGACCTCTTCTCCTCTGCCACATCCGAAGTCACCGCGCGTGACACCAAACAGCGTGCCTTGTCGTCCACATTCTCCATTGTTACAGTCGAAGCATTCCGCTCGTCTGTGCGTCTCTCTGTCCGTCCCTGTCTCACTGTGCCACGGTGGCCAGGAGATGTTAACTACCTCGCTTGGTATACAGGATGTCGTGGGTTCTCACGACACCTGAGAACGGCTGCTTGCGTTGTGGCCGAAACGTCGTGAGAATTATTGTATTATGTTTTATTTTTATTATTTTATTATTTCCCTTCTACGTGACTTTACCGAAAGAACCAAGAAGATGAATCCCTGCAGTCACGAAAGCTTTGAATCGAATTTGAATTATTTTATTATGTTTTATGTTTATTATTTTATTATTTCCATTCTACGTGACTTTACCGAAAGAACCAAGAAGATGAATCCCTGCAGTCACGAAAGCTTTAAATCGAAATTTAATTATTTTATTAGGTTTTATTTTTATTATTTTATTATTTCCATTCTACGTGACTTTACCGAAAGAACCAAGAAGATGAATCCCTGCAGTCACGAAAGCTTTAAATCGAAACATCTCCTAGCCACTGTGGCACACCGCCCCGGCGGGCGTCCTCTCACCTCTCATGCAGCCGGGGAAGCGTTCGCGCTGGGCCCTCTCGAAGTCGGCCTCGGACATCCAGCGGCCCAGCTGAGACGGGCGGCCGTGACGCGGCACGGGCACGGCGTCGCGCTGGTTCGCCGTCACGAGCACCGTGCGGCTTTCCACGCGCGCCACGTCGCGCGGGTCCGTGCGAGCCAGCCAGCTGCGGAGAGAGCACGGAGAGAGAGAGAAAAACAAATCATCATGGGATCTCCTTTTCCAGTACCAAAATATCATAATAGGTTTTTCTACTTTTTTTCTGGCAACAAAACAGGTGTTAAGATTCTAGATTTGAAGCTTTCGTGACTGCAAGGATTCCCACTCTTAGTTCTTTCGGTAAAGTCACGTAGGTAAAAAAATGAAATAAAAATTAATAAAAAATAAAATAATGAATGGGTTGACAGCCGTGTCACCCTCCTGCACCCCCCCCCTCCACTCACCACCAAACGCGAGCGAGTCACGCAACTGGATTCACGCAACGACGATGACGACGACGATGATGACGATGATGATGACGATGATGACGATGATGATGACGACGACGATGATGATGACGACGATGATGACGACGATGATGATGATGACGACGATGACGATGATGACGACGATGATGACGACGATGATGACGACGATGATGATGACGACGATGACGATGACGACGATGATGATGACGACGATGATGACGACGACAATGATGATGACGACAATGATGATGACGACAACGATGATGATGACGACGACGATGATGACGATGACGACGATGATGATGACGATGATCATGACGATGATGACGACGACGATGATGACGACGACGACGATGATGACGATAACGACGATGATGACGACGATAACGACGACGATGACGGTGTCGATCACGACGACGATGATGATGACGACAATGACGATGGTGACGATCACGACGACGACGCAGAGAGGCCCATCGCGAACGCGCGTGCCCTTCATACCAGTTGTCGTATTTGCCCAGGCGGGTCACGACCCCGGCGCTCGCCATGGCTTCCAGCACGCGCCTCTGCTCCGCGGCGCCTCCCTGGCACACGCGCACCGCCTCGGGCCGGCAGAGGCGAGCGCACTTGAGCGCGTAGGCGAGCACGTGCGGAGCCAGCGGCGGCTGCTGCTGCGACAGCGAGCGGTGGTACGCGTCCTCGGGCTGCGCCGGGTTGAGATCCGCATTGCCGGATTGCTGCGGTGCTACTGCTGCTGCTACTGCTGCTGGTGCTGCTGCTGTTGCTGGTGGTGATTGGAGGGCATCAGCAGCAGCAGCTGCTGCAGCGCCGCAATGTCGCGGTTGCTGTGGTCGGAAGCTGTTTTTTTTATTTGGGGGGGGTGGAGAGGGATTGGCGTGGTGAGGAGTGGGGAGGTGGGCAGAGAGGGATGAGGAGGAGCGGGGGAGATGGAGAGATATGGAATAAGAAGGGAGAGATGGAGGGAGGTGAAGGAGGAAGCAATGAGAGGTAGAGACAGGGGTTGAGCGACGGGAAGAGAGGTAGGGGGGTGCGATGGAGGGAGAGATGTATAGGGGAGGGAGAGGAGAGGAGAAATATAAGAAAAGGATCAGTGACAGAGACAAGATAGGCCAGAGAGAGGGAGGGAGATGAAGAGAGAGAGATAGCGAGGTGAATGGAGAGAAGAAAGCCAAGAGAAAGAGGCAGGGGAGGGGGGGGTAGAGAGAGGGAGAGATGGGAGGAGAGACACAGCGAACAAGACAAAGTTTGTTAAACAACACAATCTCTCGACACGTGTCTAACAGTCATGCGTCACGTGACTCTGCCGGGCAGCTGTGCACGGCTGGGACATCTGTGACAAAGCGCTTTGTGGCTCATCGGATTTTTCCCATTCTGGGTCAGGGCCTCCCTTCGCCGTGCCGGTCACGTGGGGTCGTTTGGCCATACTTCACCACGCCGGTCAATGGGGGTTAATGAAGAGGGGGCTCTGGTTTAGCGAGTTCCATAGCGTTGAAACGCGATGACAATTGCGCCACCACCCCCCACCCCCATTTCATGGAACGCGTTACGTGGAACTTCTTTCGCACCGTACGTAGCCGACTAAGGGGCCGTCCATAAATGACGTAACGCACCTGGGGGGGGGGGGTGGGGGTCAGACATTTGTGACGATGTGTGACGAGGGGGGTGGGGGCGGTTTGAGAAATGTGACGTCACATCAAAATGCGCAACTGTAAATAGATATAGAATTGTTATAGCAACACTAATTGTTATAACAACAATCCTACAACATCAGAGTGCAGCGCCACATTAAATACGCACTACAATGGCAATAGTTTAAAGCGATTTGAAGCATGTTTTTTTTCAAAATGGAAATGTTTTTTTTGGGGGGGGGTGGGGGGCAGAGCTTTGTGACGTCATATATGAGGGGGGGGGGGTCAAAAATCGTCCAAAATCGCGTGACGTCATTTATGGACGGCCCCTAACGCTGGCGGTGCGGGATATTGCCGACGAGAGAAGAGTGATGGGTACGGACACACTTCACCGGTACCCGCTGTCTGTGTCACGCATTCACTTTTAAGTTCTGTATACCGGGGGTGACGGGGGGTCGGTAACCTTTCAAATTGAATAAGAAAACATTTTAGACATTTTAGTTGAGTTTGTTTTTGTCTGTGACCAAAATAGTTGCGAAACTGCATCACACACACACACAGCTGCTACCTGTACACACAAACACAGGCACGGCGGGTAAACAGCAGGGTGACAATGACAAACATTCTGACTTAGGGGCCGTCCATAAATGACGTCACGCACCTAGGGGAGGGGGTCAGACATTTGTGACAATGTGTGACGAGGGGGGGGGGGGGGTTGAGAAATGTGACGTCACGTCGAAATGTGTAACTTTAAATGAATATAGACAACACGTTCTACTTAATTAAATATACTTTTGTGTTATAAATGTTTTCTCCTACAACATCAGAGTGCAGCGCCACATCAAATACGCACTAAAGCGATTTGAAGCATGTTTTATATTTTTTTTGGGGGGGGGGGCAGAGCTTTGTGACGTCATATTTGAGGGGGGGCTTCTGACTTTTTGTGACGCCGTGTGACGAGGGGGGGGGGGCGGTCAAAAATCATCCAAAATCGCGTGACATCATTTATGATCGGCCCCTTATACAAAACACGTGATGGAATAAACTCCCTCTCTTTCGTTCAACACGTAGTAGGCTTTCGAGACCAATATTCTTCATAATAAATGTTTTTTTTGGGTTAGATCACGTAACTATGAATGTGTCGTGAACGTCCACCACCCTGACGCAGCCAATGAGGTTCGTCACGTAAACAACGCTCCAATCAGTGACTACTTCAGCCCCACCACTCTTGTGGGAGAGCAAATCACAGATCTTCTTGGTTCTTTCGGTAAAGTCACGTAGAAGAAAGCACCAAGAAGATGAATCCCTGCAGTCACGAAAGCTTTAAATCGAAAAGTAAATCACAGAGTAAGTCAAATAGTAAATGTTGTGGATTTACTCTCCAACACACCGGTGGGGCTGAAGTAGTCAACTAACTGGCGCGTTAATTCTAGATTTGAAGCTTTCGTGACTGCAAGGATTCATATTCTTAGGTTTTTTCGGTAAAGTCACGTAGGTAAAACATTAAAATTAATAAAAGTAAAATAAAATAAAAATCACGACGTTTCGGAGGCAACACAAGCCTCCGTACTTGATGCAGCTGTCGTGGCTGTGACGGTTCCACCTGAAGACGGAAGCTTGTGTTGCCTCCGAAACGTCGTGATTTTTATTTTATTTTACTTTTATTAATTTTAATGTTTTACCTACGTGACTTTACCGAAAAAAAACTAAGAATATAACTGGCGCGTTGTTTACGTGACAAATCCATTACTAATTGGCTGTGTCGGGTGGTGGAGGGTTACGACACATTAATACTTACGCGATCTCACCCCAAAAACCTTGATTATGAGATCATTTCGTCCTCCCCCCCCCCTTAGTAATTATTTAACAAGACAGTTTGACAGTTCTTCTTGGTTCTTTCGGTAAAGTCACGTAGAAGGGAAATAATAAAATAATAAAAATAAAACATAATAAAATAATACAATTCTCACGACGTTTCGGCCACAACGCAAGCAGCCGTCCTTGCGTTGTGGGCGAAACGTCGTGAGAATTGTATTATTTTATTATGTTTTATTTTTATTATTTTATTATCTCCCTTCTACGTGACTTTACCGAAAGAACTAAGAAGATGAATCCCTGCAGTCACGAAAGCTTTTAATCTAAATTTAAGTTTGACTGTTGTACATTTTGTTTTAATCAAGGCATTCATGGTGAACCCCGTTCCATGTCATATTTCATCAATTGCGTATTATCTTTGCGTTAAATTACGTTTAAGATTAAAAAAAAATTGGTTTTCAAACAGAAAAATTGCTGCTCCGCAGAGAGGGCAGCCAAAGAGCCTCAAGGGGGCAGCCAAAGAGTCACGTGGGGGCAGCCAAAGAGCCTCAAGGGGGCAGCCAAAGAGTCACGTGGGGGCAGCCAAAGAGTCACGTGGGGGCAGCCAAAGAGTCACGTGGGGGCAGCCAAAGAGTCTCATGGGGGCAGCCAAAGAGTCACGTGGGGGCAGCCAAAGAGCCTCAAGGGGGCAGCCAAAGAGTCACGTGGGGGCAGCCAAAGAGTCACGTGGGGGCAGCCAAAGAGCCTCAACACGCGGCTCCCGATCCGCAGGATGCCGACCCCTGTAGCTGCCCACGTGTTGTTTGGATGTCTGCACCTGTGAGCTCACGGCCGTAGCGGCCACGGGCTGAGTTCAACTCCGGCCACTGTCGAATGTCCAATTCTCCGTAGCAGTGTGAGAGTGTGTGAGAGTGAGAGTGTGTGTGAGTGTGTGAGAGTGTGTGAGGGTGTGAGCGTGTGAGAGTGTGAGAGTGAGAGAGTGTGAGTGTGTGAGCGTGTGAGTGTGTGTGAGTGTGTGTGAGAGTGTGAGAGTGAGAGAGTGTGAGAGAGTGTGTGTGTGAGTGAGTGTGTGAGTGAATGTGTGTGTGTGAGTGTGTGAGAGGGTGTGTGAGTGTGAGTGAGAGTGTGTGAGAGTGTGTGAGTGTGTGTGAGTGTGAGAGTGTGTGTGACTGATGACACGTTGCTATACCTGTCAACCCCTTAGCAGTGCTGCCGATCTTATTACAGACCAATTCAGACCCCGTGTCCCTTATACATCTCAAAGTTTATCCTACAAAGTTCCATCAAAAGGCAGAAACACAGACAAATTGACACAAGTAGTTTTTTTGCCCGCGTTGGACCTGAAAACTCAATTCCCCTGTACAAGAATAAGGGGCTAAGCCGCGTGGGTTGACACGGTGTGCTGTTGGTCGTGGGCCACGTTTAATCTCCACCGTTTAAATACCACGGATTCGCAAACCGGTTGATTCCGGGACACGGCAAACGTCAGTGGCGACTGAGATCCAGAGCCGGTTCTTAACCCCAGCGTGCCGGTTGTTCGTTCCGTCAAATAACCACCACCAACACCACCACCACCCCAACAACAACAACAAAACAAAGCTCCCCCGTATAGCCTTAACAGGCTGTTAGGGGCAAGTGCTATCTGCGAGTAGCAGCAACGATGAAAGCCGGCACACGAACCAACCGCGTGGGTAAGGCCCTCATCCAGCAGTGGATAGAACAAACGAGCGCGGTTGCCACGCGAACTGCGTGACGCGGATGCCAGTGAAGGGTGCGTGAGAGCGTTCAAAGAAAGAAAGAAAGACACCAAAAACAAAACCACTCGCTTACCTGTCACTGCAAACTGCCTCCATGATGTCGTGTCAACAGGTGAGCTTGTGGGTGTCCTTTATACACTGCGAGAGAGTGTTTACATGTGTGTATGTACGCACCTATGCGTGTGTGTGCGTGTGTGTCTATGGAGGGCTATGATAGCCTTTGTAGAGGTGTACCTATGCGTTTTGGGTGCGTGCCTTGATGTCTACGTGTGTGTCTTTGTGTCTAAGACGGCACGTGTACATACCCGTGTTCTGTCTACGTGTGAGTCGGTGTACACGGCGTAGGCGTACCTGTGCTTGAGTGTAGGTATGTGTGTACACATCTGTATATGGGTAAGTCTCGATACCGTATATCTGGTGAGTCTATATATGTGTGTCTGTGTGAGTCTAAGTGTGTGTCTAAGTGTGAGTCTACGTGTGAATCTACGTGTGAGTCTATCTATGTGTTAGTCTATGTGTGAGTCTATGTGTGAGTCTATCTATGTGTGTCTTTGTGTGAGTCTACGTGTGAGTCTATGTCTGAGTCTCTATATATGTGAGTCTCTATATATGCGAGTCTATGCGTGAGTCTATCTATGTGTGTGTCTATGTGTGAGTCTACGTGTGAGTCTATGCGTGAGTCTATATAATGCGTATGATATTTAAACCCGCGGGACAAGCCTCTGTCGTCCTGCGTGTCTCTGTCTGCACCGGTGTCTCTCTTCTGTGAATGCTCAATGGCAGATACACCGGCTCCCCCCTTCTTTATAAGGCCATGGGCCATACCATCTCGACCTTGGCAGCAAGCCGCCTCTAGTCAAGCCGGTCTGGTGGGGCACACGGGGGGGATGGTGGGGAGGGGGTGGGGAGGGGTCATCGATGACAGGGGTCAAACGTGGTTGGGTACATTTGAACTAAGCGCAGATCATCACCATCAGCACCATCATCCCCCCGGGAGTCCACGCGACTCGGCAGATGTCTCCCTGCGCTGCACCGGGAGACCACCTCTAGTCGCTGTGGGTGACTGGATTAGCTGCTTACAGAGGTGGTGGTGGTGGTGGGAGTAGAGCAAGTAGGACGAGGGCAGGGGGCGTTCGTTCGATTCGGCCCTGCCCTGCCGATGAGTCTTGGTGGAGTGGAAGCGGAAGGAGGTTGCTGCTGTTGTTGTTGCTGCTGTTGTTGCTGCTGCTGCTGTTGTTGCTGTTGCTGCTGCTGTTGCTGCTGTTGTTGCTGCTATTGCTGCTGTTGTTGTTGTTGCTGCTGCTGCTGCTGCTGTTGTTGTTGTTGCTGCTGCTGCTGTTGTTGCTGCTGCTGTTGCTGCTGCTGTTGTTGTTGCTGCTGCTGTTGCTGCTGCTGTTGCTGCTGCTGTTGCTGCTGCTGTTGTTGCTGATGCTGCTGTTGCTGCTGCTGTTGCTGCTTTGCTGCTGCTGTTGCTGCTGCTGTTGTTGCTGCTGCTGTTGCTGCTGCTGTTGCTGCTGCTGCTGTTGCTGCTGTTGCTGCTGCTGTTGTTGTTGCTGCTGCTGCTGTTGCTGCTGCTGCTGTTGTTGCTGCTGTTGCTGCTGCTGCTGTTGTTGCTGCTGCTGTTTAAACAGTCTCTCTGCTGGCAGATAGATTTGGTTCAGAAGGCTCTATAGGCGTATGGACTGAGATGTTATTGACATTTAAAAAATATATATATGTGACAAACATGTCAATGGAACTGCGCGTGCGTCGAGTGTAGCGGTCATCTGCGCTGCGATTCCCTCTCAAGGCCAACACCAGTGACGATCGTCTGAACCGGTCATGGGCCTCCCCTAGGTCGACTCAGCCTGTTATTAGTACCTCGTGTGATGTGTAAACATCACCACTTGGGGAGATAAAGGCGGCCGGCCGTGGTGTTGGCCACCCACCCCCCTCGTGTGTCGTACCGGCCTTCATAGGTGCTACTCGCTAAGAGCACTTGCCCCAACAGCCTATTGAGGCTATACGGGGGATCTTTGTCATTGTCTTTGTTCACGCTGTTGTCAATCCACTGCTGGATGAAGGCCTCCACAGACCTCTGAGTGATCCGTAAGCGATAATGACCATTTTTGCAACGTGGGAAGCCACTTTAATTGCGCTATCATTTCTGATATCCAGGTCGATTGTGAAAAAGAGGAGCTGAAATAAAAATTTAATTTATTTGATTTTACTTTTTATATATGCACATTTTTTATTTTCTTAATTTTATCCTGCGATGGCACGATCTCCAGCACTTCAGCTCCATCTCCGCGCCGTTCGCAACCTTCGAGGTAAATGTTTTCCCGTCCTCCTTTGGCTGGCGTTCCGTCGCAGGCCTTGACCATTGGCCATCGTCAGCCTCCGATTAGCACGCCTGGCAACGTACGGTGCGAAGGAAGTTCAACATACATAAGTACTGCACATAGACTAACACTACCCATAGACTAACACTGCCCATTGACTCGACACTGCCCATAGACTCAACACTGCCCATAGACTAACACTGCCCATGGACTAACACTGCCCATGGACACAACACTGCCCATAGACTAACACTACCCATAGACTCAACACTGCCCATAGACTAACACTGCCCATAGACTAACACTGCCCATGGACACAACACTGCCTATAGACTAATACTATCTATAGACTCACACTGCCCATAGACTCAACATTGCTCAAAGACTCGACACTGCCTTTAGACGAATACTACCCATAGACGAACACCACCCATAGAATCAACACTGCCCATAGACTAACACTACCCATAGACTAACACTGCCTATAGACTCTGTACCCCGATTAGCACGGCTGGCTAGGTACGGTGTCAAATAAGTTCAACATTCATAGCACAGAGGACATCCCTTCTGGCCGCGTCTTGTTCGAGCCCACTCAGTTGCATAACGAGACGCTAGTTTAATGTTACCAGGTGAGGCTCCACTGAACTTCACAGCTCTTTCTCAGAAGCGACCTGGCCACCACAAATGATTGCTCAACCAAGTGGCTCATTTGGAAAATATTAGCGGCCGAATATACTTTAAACGCGTCATTTTGATTCTAAATGTTGCGAGGAAAACCAGAGGACTCGAGCGAAAAATCCACGCGTCCATGGGGAGAAAGAGAGACACGCAAACTCCAAATATACAGCAGCAGGCATCAGGGTGGGGATTGAACCCACGACCTCCCGTATACCAGGCGAGGTAGTTAACATTTCGCCACCGCCACGCCATTTTGTTTGCGGTGTAATGTTCGCCCCCGTGGCAACAACAACAACACCAACAACAACAACAAAACTTTGGACCCTGACGCATTTGCGGCACGCAAACTGGGCAAGCCGCTCCTTGCGAAAGACGCCACGGGATCTTTCAACGTCAACTGTGGAACTTTGGGTGGGCAACGCGCACAACTGCGGAGTTTACCGGGGCTGCCGCTGCAATTCGAACCTCCGTCACAACGAGCGGCGCACGTGCAACCCCTGGGGGAACGCGTCACCGCCCCTGATGTCAACCCCCCCCAACTCTACGTCATTCCCGGCATGCACGGCTCCCACACATGCCTCCTTACTAAACCCTTTTCTGTCTTGACTTCAAGCTTTCGTGACTGCTAGGAATTCATATTCTCTGGGTCTTTCGGTAAAGTCACGTAGATAGGTTGAAAGAAAATAATAAAGCAATTACAAAAAGCTACGACGTTTCGATATATTCTTTGTAAACATTTTGCCTTTAGAAGCTAATCCCATTTTCCTGGTGACGACGGCTTATGTTGCGATCGAAACGTCGTAGTTTTTTGTTATTTTCTTTGTTATTTTCTTGTTATTTTCTTTGTTATTTTCTTTGTTATTTTCTTTGAACCAATCTACGTGACTTTACCGAAAGACCTAAAGAATATGAATCTAATTTTCTGTTTAACACGTAGTCGCAGGCTTTCGCGACCAATATCATCATCATCATCTCCATATATATAAAAAGCAAAGTTGTGATTATGTGTGTCTATTCAAAATGTTTAGCCTACTTCCCGACATGCAACAAACTTGAAATTTGCCATGTGGGTACTTTCCAGACTGTACACCATGCACAAATTATAAAAATACACTTTTGGCCGGGGGGTGCTCAATAATGCATATATTTTCTGCACGGCAAGTGAGCTGTGACGTCACATCTGTCACGTGACCCGCGCACGTGGAAGCGTAACGCGTTGTAGTGTAGCGGGTAGCGCGCTGCGCTACGAACCCGGCGACCCGAGTTCGATTCCCGCCCACGGCCACCACCGGTGACGATTATTTCAACCGGTTCTGGGTCGCCCCGAGGTCGACTCAGCCTCAAACGAGCGTGTGGTGTGTGAACATCGCCACTGGGGAGACAAAGGCGGCCGGGCGTGGCGAATCCAAGTCCCGGGTGAAGCCGGGTAGTTAAGCTGGTTTATAATAGAGGGTTTTATTTTTTGGGTTAGATCGCGTAAATACTATATATAAACGTGTCGTTAACAGAACGTGGCCAATTCGTCACTAGTACAGCACTAGCGTGTAGTGTAGCGTATAGCAGAGGTGGGACAAAGTCATTGTTATGCAAGTCCAAGTCGAGTCTGAAGTCATCAAATTCATGACTCGAGTCTGACTCGAGTCCAAGTCACATGACTCGAGTCCACACCTCTGGCGTATAGTGTTGTGTATAGTGTTGTGTATAGTAGTGCAGTGTATAGTAGTGTATAGTAGTGTATAGTGTAGTCTATTGTGTTGTGTATAGTGTAGTGTACTAGTACAGCACGCCGGTGTTGTTGGAGAGCCAAGCCACAAAATTAACAATCTGAGTACGACGTTTCGCCAGTAATTACAACCAGCTTCATCAGGCGACAGCTAAAAAAAAAACCTCTATTATGGATCACTCTTTTCTGTTTTTGTAACGCATGTTTTTGTTCTAAATCTTGTTACGGATTATTAATAACGTTGGAGTGTATTTATATTCGCGACGGTAAATTATATGCACCGATGGGACCACGTTGTTTTTGAAGAATAATTAAAGAGCTACATGCGGTACACAGTGCAGAGACTCGCTTAGTCTCAAAACTCACTTTCAGGAGGGTGCTGACACATGCGGCTGTTTGGACCAATTACGTCTTCACGGAGGATTGAGCATCCCATGAAGATGATGATTTGAAGCTTTCGTGACTGCAGGAATCCAAACACTTTGGTTCTTTCGGTAAAGTCACGGAGTTAGAAATAAAATAAATCACGACGTTTCGGGCGCAACACAAGCGTCTATCATCAGGTGACTTTACCGAAAGAACCAAAGAGTAATGAAGATGATGTTAGGAAGCAAATGATCACGACGTCGACGATGATGGATATTATAAACTAGATAATTCTTATGATGATGATGGATATTATAAACTAGATGATAATTCTTATGATGATGATGATCTTACGATTGTGAAAGCAATATGACCCTAATTTCGTTCATCAGTCCTATTGGCTTACTTCACCAATATTATCGAACAGCAGCTGCTGCAGCTGCAGCATTTGTTTAAGCAAGCTAAAACACTCCGGATCGGTTTATATCTTCTTCATCTCATCAGCAGAGTCGGGCCGAGCTGAACAAACACCGCTGGATTACCAGTTGTCATTGTCCAGCGTACTCCATCTAGACTATGGGACCGCATTCATCGCAAAAAACACACTCTCATCATGACTGTGATGATCATGGTGACCTTATGCAGGCAACAATAAAAAAAATTAGAACGTGAGTTTTACACGTACCGTCGGCTTTCGCT